CCACTTGACTTGTGTGTACAAGCCGATACTTGCTCTTTCTTCCTCCTCATGGAACTGCAAAAACAAAACAACGCCTTGCTCTCAACACATTTTAAAGATAACAATTTGGCACTTACATAAGAACGATAATACAAACACACGTAATTATAATAATGCAAGCACAAATGGGTATATTTCTCTGTGTATCTGTGCACGATTTAAGGGAGATAACTTCCTCCTTGGCTACGAGCGATTGGTCAACGAGCCCAAGGAAACTCCCTCTTAATGAATAGTCGAGTCAATTTCTGGGAGAAAAATAAACCCTTACCCCAAAAAACTGTACTGGACAGAATTATTTTTTATCGGCTTTCCGGTATGTATTACCACCAGAAACAACATAATAAAAATATAAGAAAATCGGATACCTGTAAAGTTGTTATTTTCTATTACAATGGCGTACCAAATACGCGAATAACTTAAAATTGCCATATATCTTGATATATCTATTTTATAGATGTATTATTGGTATCTTGGTGGCTATACTTATGTTTAAATGTATAAGGGGCATTGCTCCACCTCGTTTATCAAACGAATTATAAATGTATTTCGACCGCCATGGCCTAAATACAAGAAATGCAAACTCTCTTAATGTAGTATTGCCAAAACCAAATGTAACCTTATTCAAACATTTTGTTAAGTATGCTGGGGCGGTTAATTGGAATAAGCTTACCGATGATATCCAAAATGGCAATTCAGTAGACAGTTTTAAATACCAATTTAAAAAGTGTTCCTTTAATCAATACTTGTTCACTGCCGTTTCTCCTCACTACTACAACATTATATTCAATAACTAAAATTATTTCTAACCCAATTACCTAGAAATTTCATATACCTACATTACGTCCTAAATTTGATATTTATCTTTTATAATTATGCAATACAAACCATATTCACAATTCATTGGACTTAATCTCGACATGAAATGTTTATTAACTTTATTGTTATATAATTATAATGTAAAATGTCATAATGTTAACGTCATATTGCATTATTTTATCTTTTTAAAAAAAATCTTTTTTGTCCTCCTCTTTTCGTTTTTCCCTAATATTAATTTTCCTATTTGTGTTGTTTTCGTTTTTTACCATTTATATAAAACTGCTATTTTGTTTGTAACTAGTCTTATTGTCAGTTCTTGAATTTGTATTTTCCATCCTTATGCTAGCCTATCCGATATGCGTCGGGCTTTACAAGTATTCTAATCGCGTTTAATATGGAGAGTGATATCAGCGCGGGCTTCAGCCCGAGCGCCTATCATCACCGGTGCATGCGAAAAGTTTTATTTTCTTTTATGTACCATGTTTCGTTCGTAGAACATCTACGAACCCCCTGTAAAGCTCTTCATGAATTATTATGTAGCATGGACCAAAATAGGCCAATGAGCGATGGGGAACCTGGAGATGATATTTGATTGGTCGAATCAAAGAGATCGATCACCAAATAAGGCTAGTCTTATGAATCATGCATGAGAATACGCTCGTCAAACATACGATACACATATATGAATAATGATGAGTTGACCAGTGATGATAGGCGCTCGGGCTGACGCCCGCGCCTATGTCAGTCTCCATAACGCGATTAGTACGGTTAGTACACTTGCCATTTAGCCCGACGCCTATCGGATAGGCTATCCTTATGCAGGACCATTATGTCAAACAGCCTGCGAGCTGATCAATGTTATCCTGTTAAAAGATGTTTTAATAAATTTTAAAAAAATAATAATATACCCAGGCTTTGGGGTTAGACGAATGTTATATAAAAATGTATTTTACAATATGATATGGACACGAGGAAACCCGGAAATCCAAGATGACGTCCATGTCGTTAGTCTCCTTAGAATGGCCGAAAGTGATTTAATATTTACAGGAAAGGTGTAACCCGATTTATCCTATTACCAAACGGACAGTGTGTTTATATATAAATCTTCATTGTAAGCGGGAAACCAGTAGAGGGCTCACTTCTCAAAGTGAACAACCGCTTTCATACACTGGAATCGTCCATCGTCAAACTCGCAAAAATAATTGTGCAGAAGATTACAGGTCAAGAGAAAACAAGCGATAACTACACTTGTGTGCCTATCGGCTACCGTATCCAGAAGCCTTTATCTGGAAATAATCGGTTAGACCCGTAAACAATAAACAAAATTATTTCCCCATAGGCTGTACAAAGAAGTTTGTAGTATATGTGTTGCACATGCATACGTGATCAATCATTCACTTAATCTCTTTTCTCATTAATTGTAGTGATCTCATATTTCAAACACTCAAAACTTTCTTAATATTGGTCCGATTTATTTTAAACTTTTCAAACTTTCGCCATTCTGTTTCTCTGATTGTTATGCATTCATTCAAATGAACTTATTAAAAGGGTTAAATTGCCCTTTAAGCGCTGTAATGGCAGCCCTGTAAAAGCCAGTGTAATAACAATGAGCGCCATGAAATGGCATTGTGCCAGACATGAGCGCTATGAACCCACGCATACTCTGTATGCCTGTGTCTAGTCGATTGGTAATAATACTAGTATGTATTGCTTTGAAAGCGCAATAACGCAGACAACTTACCAGCATTAAAAATCCGATGAAGTGCAAAATGACTCCCATATTTTGGATATACATGTTGGCTAGTCGACCCATTCTGCAAACGATGTATTTCAAGATTGTTTCGTTAGCTGGTTTGAGAAGACAGAAATGTAAATGGAGTGCTCAGGCCTTCAATAGCAGCAAAAAGGGGAGAGTCCAAAACAATCATAGAGACGTAAACAGCGAAACACTTGATATGGTAGGAAGGCACTGAGGGTGAACATCCGAATGCCAGGGGCGGATCCAGCCGGCGACAGGAGGGGGGGGGGGCAATTCGTGAGAAAATATTTTGCGGCGACTCATCCAGTCGGTGAATGAGCGGGGGGGGGGGGGGGGGTAAGAGCACTATTTGTTGTTGTTGGCCAATTCGTGAGATTTATTTTGTTGCTTGTGGGCAAAATAAACTTGAAATAAACTTAAAACTTGAAGGTTACTTTTGCAATAACTGCAAAATTACTTGAATGATGAAACAACAGTAGGCCTAATCATTGTAATAACAGGCCCATGGATGTGGCTATCATGGTTAAATAACACCATTATTAGATATGATGTTGAGCAATAGTATATATATATGAATTATATTTTTCGCTCTACTCTACTTGACTATACTTGTAACACTCGATCGGGCTTACTATTTCAATCATACCCGTTATTAGGATATAAGCCAATTTAATTTCTTGAGTTAGGCCAAGACCCTCCCGAAATTGTCACCACATTTTACTTATGATATTCTACCCCGCAAAGTTACTGAACCTGCATAACTCAGTTACAAATATGTTGTCAGCCTGATTATTTTGGCAATATGATATTATTTTGCTCTTAAGAAGATTCCCCTTCTCCGGGTCCCAATGACATTTGCCCCACATTATTGGAAGTATGCTATTTCGTTTTTCATGGGCCACCCTGTTTGACAGCAAAGGTTTGTTTTGGGGGACGGGCTTGTGTCATTGGGAGGGGGGGCACATCGCTGATTAAATGCAATACGAGAAGGAGAAGGTACAGTAGAGGTCGTATTATTTTCTTTCACGTTGCGCTCTTCTGTTTATGTTTGAAGGACAAAGAATCGTTCCTACGTCCCTCTTTTTTTATTTTACCATTTGATGGAACGTAACAAAATCTCGATTGTTTTCTTTTCATTTTTAAATCGAGTTGCCAGATTTGTGACTGTGCTATGAATTGTGCATGATTCATTTTACTTTTGGGAAAAAATTAACTAAATATTTTATTTTATTGAAGAGTACCCTGTACTTGTTACCTGCTGAAAGGTGTATTATTGTAATATAATACAGTTAAAGTATAAACAAAATGTAATACAAATTGTACAACCTCCCCCATCGCTCATATCCCCCTCTCATTCTCTCTCTCTCTCTCTCTTTCATTCCGTTTATACACTTTTTTCTTTTGTTTATTTTTCTCCTTCCAATATATTCATCCCTCTAACCCTGTTTATGTTACTTTGTAGCGCAAATGTACGCCATCAATAATTTGTATTATTTCGTTATCAACTAATTATTGTATATATTGTATTACGTTATCTATGTAATGAACATGATAAAAACAATAAAACTTGATTATTTGAAAATTTATCGGATTTATTGTTCTCTATATTTGCCATGTCTACTTTTGGTGTCAGCAATATTTTATCGATTATAGCAATATTAAATTCCTTCAAGAAATCTTTAAGAAATAGACTAGATAAAGCCAAGTCATTGATATGATATCAAGATGTTTTGACAAATCGTCAGTTTGATGAAACTCATCAGTGTAAGGTAAAGTTCAATATTTCTAGAATAATAGTACCTCGTATAAACAAATTATGAAAAAGGAGAATTTCAAGTATATATTCACAATCACGTCAATTATTCTTTACCAAATTTTGATACCTAGGTAAATAAACAAGAAAAGGGTGATTTCATTTTATTCATTGCAAAAATATGCTTAAATTTAAAGGCATGCGGTATAAATGAAAATATAGAGATTATTTAAAAAAATATCGGAAGAATATATATATATATACTGTATATGCCGACATATTTTACATTCAAATCGTACAAATCAATGGAACATTACACAAATAACACAAACGGTAACTACAAACATTAAATTTAACTTACAGATGTACTGCGCTAACTAGCTGACTATTTCGGCCTCATGGACCTTTAGATCTAACCTTTAGACTAGGCCTTGACATCAAATATTTCGGTCTTGTCCCGGGAGTGTCACAATAGATTCAAGATTCAATTGTGGTTTTATTCACGACTTGTCAAAAAGTCTAAAGACTAAAAATGCAAGTTTACATCAAAAATACAATCATATAAAAAAAACACATTCAAAAACATATATTTATATAAAGAAAACATAGCAAATGGGGAAAAAATATATATATATATAAAAATGAATAAATGTTTACATAAAAAAATGATGCTAAGAAAAAAAGTAGGTTTGCGAGAGCAAATCATTTGGTCTCGTGGGCTATCGGTCTTGAAAACTCTCAGGTATAAAAAGGGTCATGAAACCAAAAAAAACTGTATATAGGTCAAGAAGACTAGCGATCGAGAAGACTGTAGTCCTATATAATCTTAATTAAATGATTTTACTTGAAAGATGTACCATTTATAATAATCTATTTCGTATAGCCGTAAAGTATATATCTGTTTTACATCAGATTTGAAGCATGTCGTGACTCATCATTGCTGCTGCATCCAAGAGGAATGTTCGATCAAATTATCCTGCAAAACATAAAATATATGGATGGTAAACAAGATTTCAAACAATGCTGTCATTTCTCATGATCACGACCGAATCATTAAGATCATCCTCGATACACTGCAGTTGTTTCTGGTCATTTAAACTGTTAGCAATGTACGTGGAAGAAAGATAAACGATTATTCATTTCTTCAGACAAAATGATGTGCTTCCCTCTGCTTAAATCTAAATTAAGATTTTTGACTTAGACATTTCCTCCGTTTTCTTCACCCTTAATAGAATATACTGAATTATGAAAAATTGGCGGATATTTAACATGTTTGAACCATGTTATGTGATGTACCACTGTTCAATCAATTACCAAAAATGAATGAACCAGTAAAGTGTAAATGCATCTATATTCATTTTGTATTTGATGTTACTTTATATTCAGTGTCGGCCCCAGACGTGCAAATTGGCGATGTTCCTTTTAAATCTTAAAGGGGAAGTATACAAATTATGAAAGAAAAAGGTATACATGGTAGCATTGTCAGTTATAAAACTGCAAACCACACTGGCCTTGGATAATACATTTTGAATTTGAATTTGATTTAAAATTTGAAATTAGAAATTTGAATTTGAATTATGATTAAAGACTGAAATTATAGGAAAATGATATGCATGTATATATACATGTAGATGAAGATGTTAAGGGAAACAATAATAAAGGCGCATTCAAAGACTTTTGTTGAGAAGTAAAAAGTGCTAACCTAAAAAAAAACAAGACAACCAAAAAGGAAAAGGAAACTAAATAACATCACAAACAACAACCCAACAAACAGCACGACAATAACAGAAGAAGAACAAATGTGGAGAGAAAAATGATTCGATTACTAAAATTAATAAATGAATAGATAAATAAATTAATTAATAGATTTATAAATAGATAACCGAATAAATAAATTTACCACTTAATACAAATAAACGAATAAAATGAGATCATTTAAAGTCGTTACTATTTTTGTTCTCGCATTGATCTGCCGAGGACCCATGTAAGCAGTGACACATAAATGATCCTGTTAAGGGTCAAGTAAGGCTGTTATATAGCGCAAATGCAATAAAACATTGCTCATTGCGCTTTTAATGACAAATTAATGACAGTGACAAAGAACAGAATAAGCCTATTGAAGTAATAAACATTCAGTTATTGAAGAGTTGAGTTTTATAATAAACATACATTTATGCAATTGGATTTTATAAAGCGCAAATCCAATAAAACATTGCTCAATGCGCTTTTCATGACAAATTAACCCATTGTCGACCGGCACCGGATGACCCCTGTAATAAACCTATGAGAATGACAGAATTCAGTTCTCAACGGGTTAATGACAGTGACAATGAACAGAATAAGGAAAAAATATAATAATAAATATTCAGTTGATGAAGAGGTATGTTTTTAAGTTCTTTTTAAAACAGTCAATTGAGGTGGAAGTGCGGACAAATAAATGAAATGTTAGGTGCGGAAACATAAGGCTCCTCATCATACCTGTACATACGGGAGGATCATCCGACCATTGACCCTTTTCACATGTGATGTTCCTAGATCCCACCAAGCGGTAATCATCTTCACATTCGAATGAAACCGTTGGACCGGCTGTAAATATATATCGGGGCAGCTTTCTTGGACCAACTAGTAACCTCCCGTGCTCTGGAGCCGCAGGGACTTCGCATTCAGCAGCTATATCACGGCGAAAAGAAAAAAAAAATCACTCAATATACGTCTCTTTGGGGTTTGTTCAGTCTTTAAGTAACATGCTTAGGAAATGTGATTGCACTGCGTATATTATTATCATTAATGCATTCAATCAATTTTAACAATTTCAGATAACTATAATAGCATTACACCATGGGCACAGTCTTCGTTTAATTCGAGGCTCAATTCTTTATTCATATTTATAGCAATGTCTCACAACGTGAGATGGAGTCTGTGCAGACTAACGTGTCCCTACCCGAATTCAAAGACATCTGCCCCCTGCAGGCCCGACGAGCCCGGCATCCCCCTTCCCCCTGGCAAAAAATAATTATAATTATAAAAAAAATAAAAAATAAATATTCACGCGAATTAGGGGAAAGAATGAAAAAATTGTGCTGTTACCCTCTCCCCAACAATTTCACCGGCTGGCTGAGTCGCCGCTAAATATTTTCTCACGAATTGGGCCGAAAAAGACCAGACGTGCACACTGACGATGTTCATTTTAAATCTTAAATGGGAAGTATACAAATCATGAAAGGAAAAAAGCATATTGCTCCGGTTGTCTCATTTTCGCTCGCTGGAACATTGCCAGCACAAACCACTGACCTCTACCTCCTGGACGGATCATCGCCCATTTCCATTCACTATACGTTACGTTAAAAAAGCTGTATTGTCTTACCGTTCATGAATATTCATGTTTTTGCTTACCTCGGCAAAATGTTTGCTCTTACTAAATTGAAAAATTACGGTGGGGGGGGGGGGGGGGGGGGGGGGATGAAATGGACATAATGAACGAAGCAGAAGTGATCTATGATAATTCATGCTTCTTATCCTTCGTGTGCTTGACCTATATTCTTAAAATCGCTCGGCAAACTGAGTCCAAAGTTCGACTTGTTTCACATGTGTATTATAGGCAATGGCGAGCTCGCAACCTATTTTGATCAAATTACGGTGGGTGAACTTTCAAAAGTCAATGGGACATGAGGGTTCCAATGAAAGAGCTAGTAATAACGTACGTCGGGGTGGATGAGCTTTTCGTTTAAACAAAAAATGAATTTTGTTAACGATTTTTGGGGGTAAAATTCCATAGTCTAACATGTTAGGCTACTGACTCTGACGATAGGGGGCGTTGTGAAATGAGACTAAACGGAGCTATATGTTTCACATGTATAGCATTGTCAGTTACAAAAATACTTACCATAATGGCCCTGTGGGCCTAGATTAAGTTATAAAGATTATGATTTTTTTTTTTATAATAGGAAAAAAATAAGTATATATATATATATATATATACATGTAGATACCAAAAACAGATTTTAAGACAATCAATAATGCAGGGGCATTCAAAGACTTTCGTTGAAAATTACCAAGTGCAAAAATTAAAAAAAAGACAAAACCAAAAACCAAAAAGCATATAAATAACCAAAAAAAAATACCCCCCAAAAAGCAATTTAAATCGAACTAACCATACTAATTAAAACAAACTTCTTTACGAGAAAAAATGGACGGGAAAATTATTCGATTACAAAAATAGATTAATGCAAGTCAATGAATTGATGAATGGATAAACGAGTGAATATATTTGTAATAGACATAAACGAATACAATGAGATCGATTGAAGTCGTTACTATTTTCGCATTGATCTCCCGAGGTATCAGGTAAGCAGCGGCAGAAAAACGATCCTGTTGTGCGTCGGTTCCAGCAGACTCCATCATTGAGACAATCAGTGTCACGGCATGCATTACCGCCTGGTAGGGTGCGGGGGGAATAAAAATATGTCGTTGGTATGGAGAAAAATGAATTCGTGAAAATGGCCATTTGTATTCGTTCAATGAGGAAAACAGATTGTCTATCTTGAGTTTTGTAATAATCATACATTCATACAATTTTTTGATATACCGCAAATCCTATGAAACATTGCTCAATGCGAATTATACATGGCGAATTAATGACTATGACAACGAACATGATAAGGAAAAAATATAGTAATAAACATTTAGCTATTGAAAAGACATCTCTGTAAAGGCTGAGTCCACTCGAAAAATAATTTACTTTTAATAGATGCAGAAAAAAAGAGAAACAGAGCAAAAAAAATTGAGTAAAATCGGACAGCTATTAAAGGAGCTAAAGAGTATGAAAAAGTATGGATCTTAGAAAGGCACTACAAAAATTGCCAATTTGGTTATTGGTTTGTGACGTCATTGCCTCACTACTTATCAATTGCTTTATATATGTTTATTCCATTAATTTCCCCTTTTATCTTGAAAAACTCGAATTCCCCATGCCTTTTTCCAGGTTATATGATTTGGATCATATTGCGTGCATGTCATTTCACAAAAATCTTTTATGAACTTTGAAGAATTGATACTATTTTCTGAATATTGTATGTTCATAATCATTGTTTTTTTTTTATATAAATAGTTTATAAAAATTCAAATTTTTCAAAAAATAACTGGAAAAATTACTATATATTTACTGCAACCACACACAAACATATTGCTATCAATATAACTTAATAGATGCTGGTGTGAGGAAATTAGATTTTTACAGCGAAAATTGGAAATTTAAATTTTCAATGTAAAGTTAAGAATTACTAGTAGTGTATAGTGAGGCAACGACGCCACAGAACAATGAGTGAGTTGCCAATTTGTCTTGTGCTTTTCAAAGTTTTTCAAGTCATTAAAAATTCATAATTTTCTTATTAGTTATCCGATTTTTCTCAAACTTTTTTGATTGGTTTGTATGATTTTTCTGCTTCCATTGAAAGTAAGTTATTCTTGGAGTGGACTTGCCCTTTAAGTTCTTTTTGAAAGAGTAAATTGAAATAGAAGTGCGGACATATGAAGGGAGGGGGTACACTCAAGTGAAATGTTAGGTGCGCATACAAAAGGCTCCCCACCATACCTGTACATACGGGAGGATCATCAGACCATTGACCCTTTTCGCATGTAATTTCCTTAGATCCCACCAAGCGGTAGTCATAATCACATTCGAATGAAACCGTTGCACCAGATTGAAAGATATCTCGAGCTTGCTGTCTGGCACCATCTAGTAACCTCCCGTGCACTGGAGCCGCAGGAAACTCACATTCAGTAGCTATATCATGGTAAAGAAAAGGAAATCATTTCACTCAATTAACGTCGCTTTTGGGTTGTTTCAGCATTTAAGTTAAAGGAGATGTAATTGTACTATGTATATTATTATCATTAATGCGTTCAATCATTTTTAACAATATCAAACAACTAAGCAATTATTACATCATGGGCACAGTCTTCGTTTTATTCGCGGATCAATTTTTCTTCATGTTTATGGCAATATCTCAAAACGTGAGATGGAGGCTGCGCAAACTAAATGCCCCTAACCTCATTAATATACGTCTGCCCCGTGTACGTGCCTCTCTCTCTCTCTAAGTGCCATATCGTTTGACTTTGGCGATCATGCTGTTCCTCAACCATTGGCTCCTAGCCTTCTGTATGAGTACCACTCCAAGTTCTTTCACTCCTCTCTCTTCCAACAATTTCTGCAGACTGTCCATACAAAGTATCCTCCTTCTTCCCCTACTCCTTTTCCCACAATTTTCCCTGTCAAAGCAAGATTCTCTAGGCCTTCTTTACGTGTAATGTGACCCATGAGCTTCAACTGCCTAATCAACATCTCACGTATCATTTTCCTTTGCACTCCAGCTCGTGTAAGAACTTCCTCATTACTAACTTTGTCAGTCCAGGGGATTTTCATTATTCTTCTTAAAAAACACATTTTGCAACTTTCCAAACGCTTTTACTGTATCAGGGGCTAAAGTCCATGTTTCACTACCATACATAAGTACTGGGTAGATGTTACAATTCAATACTCTTATTCTGGTCTTCATACTCATTGTTCGATTTGTCAGAATTTTGCCTAACTTTGAAAATGCAGATTTAGTTTAATAATATGTTATTTTAGTTTCAAGTTTCATTTTGGACTGCTCTTCTTGGAGACCACCAGGCACTTTCTCACTTGCTCTCACTTTCTTTTACAACTACATTCAGGAGTCTCTGGATATCTTTCTCTGATTCAGAAAATAAAACAGTGTCATCAGCATATCTAATATTTCTGATTGAATGGCCACCCACTTGTATCCCATTTTCATCCTCCAATTCTCTTAGAATGATTTCACTTTACATATTGAACAGGTCCGGCGACATAACACAACACTGTCTGACTCCCCGTCTGATGTTAATTTATTCACTACTCTCTCCTTCTACCCTGATGCATGCAAACCGATTCCAATATAGACTTTGTAGCAGTTTTAGATCTTTCCTATATATATCAAGCTTTTTCAGCTCTTCGAAAAGTTCTGAATGTTTTACTTTATCAAAAGCCTTTGAATAATCAATAAAACACGTGTACACATCCTTTTGCATTTAGGCTGCTCTCTCCGTAAAATGTCTAACCACATATATTGCATTTCTTGTGCCCGCATCCTTTACAAAACCAAATTGTTCCCATCCGACCATGGGAGTTATTCTACTTCTTGCTCTCAAAAGCAAAATCCTCAAAATAATCTTAGTGATATGGCAAATAAGGCTGATTGTCCAATATTGCTCACAATCCACGGCTTCCGGTTTCTTTGGGAGAGTAATGAAAATGGATCTGCCCAATTCATCTGGAAATGTTCCGTCATCTTATATTTTGTTGATAATTTCTGTTAATCTATCATCACCATATTCCTCTAATGCTTCAAACATTTCAGTGACCACACCATCTGGTCCAGCTGCTTTGTTCTTCTTCATCTTTGACATTGCCCAACGGACTTCAGATTTAAGAATTTTCTCCCCTTTGACTTCATCTGTAAAACTCGGCATTGCTTCCCTACTATCTTCAAAAAGTTCGCAAATGTATTGCGTCCAACTACTCATTTTGTCCTTCATTTGAAACAGGATGGACCCATCTTTTCCTTTGATACAGCCAGGGTTTGAACAACCAGACTTTTTACCTAAACTTTGATTTATTCTTTGGTAAACATTACTATTCTTATCGAGTTGATTTTTAATTTCTGCACATTGTTCGTATAGCCAGCTCTCTTTTGCCTCATCACAATTTTGCTTAATTTGTTTGTCCAGGTCCCTATATTTCTTGCATTGTCTATTTCCAATTTGCTGTCTATCTTTCATCATTAAAAGAATCTCCTCTGTCATCCTTCTTTTTCTATCTTTTATCGGCATATAATCTTCCGCTGTTTCTACCAGAATATTTCTCATCGTCTCCCACGTGTTTTCTTCACCTTCATCTACGAGCAACTCAAACCTATTCTTTACTTGTACAGTAAATTCTTGACGTATGTCCGGTTTACTCAAGTGTTTAAAATCAAAAATTTTCACAACTGTTAGTCTCTTGAGTTTCTTTAATTTGTACTGAAGTGTACATATCACTGGCACATGATCTCTCCCGCAGTCAGCCCCGGGATATGTTTTTGATTGTTTCACTGCTCTTTTAAATCTACTATTTATGGCAATGTAGTCTATCTGGTTTCTGACGATGTCGCCAGGACTCTTCCAAGTGTATACTCGTCTAGGGTGTTCCTGGAACCAAGTATTAGTGATGACCATGTTCTCCCCTCACACCACTGAACCCATCTTTCCCCTCGTTTATTCCTTTCACCAATTTCATGCGGACCTACTGATTTGCCTTCTGTACCATGACCGACTTAAGCGTTCAGGTCTCCCAGGACAATGACAATGTAGTTAGATTTGCACTGAGATTTAGCTTTATCTAAGGAATCGTAAAAGGTGTCAATAACTTCGTCAGCCCTATCTGCCGTTGGTGCATAAATCACTATGATTGAGATGTAAAAAGGGTGTTCCTGTAGTTTTAATAGGAGCACCCTATCACTTACACACCAGTGTCCCAACACACTCTTTGAGATATCTGGATCAAGCAGTAACCCTACACCTCTTTCATGATTTTCACCTCCTGCATAAATCAATCTTTACTTATCTATCCCAAACTCGCCGTTATTCAGCCATCTTGTTTCATTTAGTCCTAATATATTGACATTTAGCCTCATCATCCCTTGTTTAAAATGTTCCAGCTTGCCGCTCTGATACAGTGTTCTCACATTCCACGTTCCAACTCTGATGGTATTTCAATTTCGAACAATAGCTGGCTAACGATCTGAGATTATCCAGCACGCCAGCTATTATCAGAGGTTCACCGTTGTCCTAAAAGGATCTTCCGCCGAAACACTCCTACTGCATCGCTGCTTCCCAATGCAGAGCAAGCTAGGCTTATTTAAAGGCGGCCTAAACTCGTCTTCCCAAATCAACGTCTTAGGAGTTATGCAAGTTTTATTGGTCCTACTGGTGCCACCCAGTACCACCACCAGCCCCCTGATGTTGAATGGCTCCCTTTTAGTCGCCTTTTACGACACGCAGAGGATACGTGGGGGTATTTTTGATAGGCCCCCACCCCAGACCTTTGCCTCACTATTTATAAAGGCAAACAAACTGAATAAATACTGAGATTCGAACCCTCAAGTCAACTCCGAAGTTATATTAGTAAAACGCTGTCCTTACCGATTGAGCTTACGATAAGTTAACGTTTTTACAATTACTATCACCCTATTAACAACCCTACCGGATTCCATGTGGGCATGCGCTTGTTTCCTTCGCAATTGCGCAAGCGCAGGTTTCCTTCGCGATCTCAATCTGGGCCAGCCAATGCCTTAGTCCATTTGCGTATTTGTGTTGCGTATAGCTGCGTATTTAATGGCAAGCCGTTTTAGCATTTATTCCCATTTTTTGCTATCAAGAAATGATTTTCTGATGTAAAGCAATAGTAATTCTTGATATAAAGAAGTAGGAATAAATGTTAAACGGCTTGCCATAAAGACGCAGCAATACGCAAGCCAAATACGCAAAGGAAAAAAGACGCGACCCGTGTACAGCATTTCAGTAGTTGTTTTCTTTTTTGTGGGTATGTATTTGTGTGTGTGTGTGTGTGTGTGTGTGTGTGTGTGTGTGTTTGTAACCATCTAACAATAGGAATCATTATCATTAGTGATTTTCCCACTGTTGGAACCATGAGAAGGTTAGACTAAAAAGATGGGTGAGCTTTACTGAGCATGTACAGTAGAAGCAGACTACAGTGTGTACATCCCACTGTAGTTCAACCTTGGCTCGACTTTAAACCTGGGTTTAAGTTTAGACTATAGTTAAACCCGGGTTGAACTAAACCTTGCTTTCTGAGATTTAAATAAAATTTAGACCTGAAGTCTGGTTTAGCTAAACCCGGGTTAACTTAAACTTAAACCAGGGTTTAACTAAACCAGATTTCAGAATACGGGCCACTGTATTTTCATATATGAGACCCAACAGACGTTACTCTTATTGATTCAAAATAGTACATTATACAAGTATGAAATTTATCAGGGTTAGATAAACAATTCTAGACTTAAAATGACAATTGTTCATGTTATTGATGTTTTTAAAATCAGTTTTAGACATTACCAATTTTGCACCTTTACCATTAAATACATTTTCCAAATTAAATGTTATTTAAAGAATTGATCTATTAATGTAATTGTGTTACACTTTATTGAGAAGTTTAAGTGGTGGATTTGTTCAACCTGAAATTCGTTAAAGGAATACATGATGGCACACATCGTGAATTGGTACAGCACCCCCAGAATACACGTTACTGGCATTTGTTCTCCTATGAAACTACTCAGAAATTTGACATGAACCGTAAAGATGAGAAGTAGGGGTAAGGGCTAGATGATCATAAATTGAAAGCCTATTACTATTAACAATCAATGAGGGCGTAGTAAACTGTTTTGGAGGCTGTGCAGTTCCATTCCCGGTGGTGGGACAAACGTCGGAGTAGTCGTCACAACAGTTTCCATTATCCACACAAATGCTGTCACAGTAGCAACCCTCAGGATTACAAGAATACTCGGAGTTTACACAGCAGCTGTCTGAACAGGATCCGTTTCTTGGTGCTGGGGATAAAATTATTAGAATAGTTGATTTCCGACATAATGTATGCACAAAATGAAATACTCAAAATTAAACATGGGCCTACCATAAAGCATGTGTTTTACGGTAGTCCAATATCATAAATGCTAACATTTTAACCACTATAAAAATTATATGAAAAAGACGAAGATATATATGCATGTATGTTATTCAGAGATTTTCAAAAAATCGGGGGGAAAAGAAGATACATATGCATGTACACGTTATACAATTAATCCTATAACCATTGAAATTCCTACTACTTGTAGTGATTTAATGTGTATGTGGTGTATCTATGTGTGGTGTGTGTCGGCGTGTATTTTGGTTCTTATGAATGTGATTTTACTTCTGGAAACTAACCTTTAACGTTACCATATAAACTACGTGAATCAAAATCAGTTTGTAGACGAAGACAGACAGCCGACCTTATCTCTAACCCAACTCATATCTCTGTATTAGTTTTTAGACATACTACATTTATATCATTCAGTTCATTGTACCTTGAGTATTCCGAAACAGTGTTTAAATGTTCACTTTTTATCACTTTTATACTTCGTTCACCAAGAACATGTTTCTTCATCCTAAACTAACTTACTATATTTTATATATCCTGCGACACATCAACAAAACATTACACATGTATCTATGGACAGTTCAGGTCGAGACACATTCTTCAGACTTGTACTGACAAAGATATTGTTGGTAAATTTCTGTTTCCCTGTGTCACAGAACTACTTCATCAGATTCAAACCATCTTGATATTTGTTCAACAATAATAGCAGATGTAAAATAGGAACAATCCTTACTGCAATACTCATCAGATGAATCTACACAGTCGCTAAATCCATCACATACAGCAGACCCGTAAATACATAGTCCGTTCGTGCACTGGAAAGCAAACTCACTACAACCTGACAAGGCAAAATATATTTGAAAGGGCTATAACATTTATTAAACATTTTACATGGCTCAATCAGTTCAAACGTGTTGGCTAATTCGTACTTCTTTTATTTTCTGGCTACTAATCAATAGTTGTTATTATGATGATATCCTCCGAATTAAAAAATAATAATATTTATTAGAAACTCAAGGCAGAAGCATAAATTAGTTTTTTCAGGCATTCATAACTTTGTTATATTTGAAAGTTGTTTGAGCTTTTCTCATATTCTTATATGTATACGCATTTACAGAGGGGTAGTTCTCCATGGCCTTCTACATCAATAGACGAACGATCATGATGATAGCACTAAAAGGCTTAGTATACTCCAAAAATAATTTGCTTTTAATATGCAGACAAACCCGAGAAACAGAGTAAACAAAAATTGAATAAAATCGGATAACGAATAAGGAGGTTATGAATTTTAGAAAAATATGAAAAACTATGGAACAATGGAAATCACTACACAAATTGCCAATGTTTGTTATCGGTTTGTGACTTAAATGCCTTACTACTTCTCAATTTCTTGATACATTACTTATATCCCATTAATTTCCCTTTTTATCCCCCAAAACTTAATTTCTCCATGCCTTCGACCAGGTTATATGACTCGTATCATATTGCGTGCATGAAATTTAACAAAATATTTTATGAACTTTGAAGAATCGAAACTATTTTCTAAATAGTGTACATTCAAAATCATTGATTTTTATATAAATAGTTTATCAAAATTCATATTTGCATGATATAACTGAACAAATTACTTTATATTTAGTACATCCACGCAAGGATATTACTATCAATATAACTTGGATGCTGTGTGAGGAAACAACATTCTTGGGGGAAAATGGGAAAATTATATTATCAATATAAAGAAAACAATTAATTAGTGAAAAGTGATGCAATGAAGTCATAGACTTATGAGTGTCTTGTGATGTTCAAAGTTTTTTTATGTCATTAAAAATTCATAACTTTCTTATTAGTTATCTGATTTTGCTCAAACTTTTTTAGATTGGTTTGTCTGATTTTTCTGCTTCTATTGAAAAAAAAGTTATTTTGGAGTAGACTTGCCCTTTAGTAGCATTTCCTTGTTGCCAAATTATTATTCAGATTTTCGATTCGAATTTTCTTTCCTATAGTCTGTATACGTTTATTGTGTTATTGGCTGCTTACATCTTCAAAAACCTGGCTTTCATTGTGTTCACCATTTTCCAATTATCCACTTATGTTTTTAATGTAGTCTGTACCTTGTTTCTCTTTGATGGTTATACTTGTTTTGTTTTGTTTTCTTCTTTAACGTTTGCTTGAAGTGTCATAGTTTTATCATGTTTTTATTGCCCATTGACTGTTTTTTACACATTGTTTTTAATTGATGTTGGAATTTGGAAATAAATGATTTGATCTTATTTTATTTTTATTTTATTTGAGTGTCTCGAATGGTAAAGATCCTTAAAGCGTAGCGAAACAAGACGTATGAGGAAGCAATCGATTAAAAAATTGGTACAGTTAATTAATATGAAAAAAGCATAATCACCGTTTCTCACCTCCATATAAAGAACCTATCAGGATGGAGAAACCCTTATCGGTACCAAGCGCATCGGTTGAGAACTGCAGCCACATATTAGGATGGACAGACCAATAATGATAAAGCAAATCACCAGGAAGGTTATATGTCAGGTGGAATATCAGCGTACTCTCTTCAAATACGTCTGAGATCCCCGTGTAGATGCGAACGCAATCACGAATTGAGTGCAGTCTCAAAGTCTCTAACGTTATGAATAACGCGCTCCGATGGACATATCTTACATGCCACAGAAAGTTCTCGAGATTATTGTAGTTTTTAGGGTAGTTAGGAGAAGACACACGTATGACTTCATAGTCTCGCATAGTGTAAGTTGTATTCGATATGAACACGTCTGAAAACATAATGAAATAGGTATAATGCTTGAAAGTCTCTTGAAAGATTTGTTGGGAGGAAAAGTAGAAGGTAGAGAGACTAGACCGAGAGAAAAGAAACAGGAACCAGAAAGGGAATATTAAGACATGGAGTGGAATGACAGTGAAAGAGTATTCTAGGGTGGCATAAAATGGAGATGTTTGGGAAAATGTTGCAATTAACCTCCGAGCTGGGAGAAGATACCTTGAAAGATAAATAGATAATAAAACGTAATGTAGCATCTGTGTTTTGTTGTTAGCTGGTATTAAACAATTTTCCTCTTATCAGTCCATGGGGGTGTTTCACAAAAATTCTATGTTGAATTTATCTCTAAGTTGGATTTAAAAAGTATGGAAAGCCGTTAGCATCTATGAAAACATTTTGTAAAAGTTATTTTAAAAGGCATAAAATGTGGATGTGGAATTTATTAAAAAAAAAGTCTAAAATACTTAAATTTTGCTTTTGATTATATTTTATTTTAAGGCTACAAATGGCTCTCCATAATATTTAAGTCCAACTTAGAGTTAAGTTTGCCTAGGGATCTTTGTGAAACACCCCCATACCGTAGCTTATCTGCATATGTTTCTCCTTGCAAAATGGTATTTACCAAGCTATTCTTCCACCTAGTTCCATCCATGCCAATATGCCAAAATCAATAACGAAGGGGCTGTGCAAGTATATCTATCAGTACATGCTATATGAATTGTAACCTCCAAATGTTGTATCGTTTCGTGCGCCAGAGATTCCCTTTAGTGAGTGTGTACTATATTAACTGTATAGCATGAATGAAAGAATGAAGGACGGATATGAATACCTATTCTTCTATATTCGCTAGGACACACGTCTTGGTAGTCATCGCAACAATTACGGTCATTCCACTTGCATTCGATGTTACAGTAGCAACCCTCGGGGTTACAAGAATACTCAGAGCTAGTACAACAGCTGTTTGAACAGGATCCGTTTTTCTGTGTTGGTTCAGCTGATTCTGAAAAAAAAAGCAAAACATAAACTCCATTGCCCGTATTATGAAGTCTGGTTTAACTTTCAACCTAAAGGTTCAGGTGTAGTCTTAACAGTGGCGTAATGAGAAGAATTTTTTTTTGGGGGGGGGGGCAGAAAGAAAACGCAGAAGTGAGCGTAGCGAGCGACACAACTTGAGCTTAAATTGTCGTGGGGTCCAGGGGCGGAGCCCGCGGAAGCTCAGGGATTTTAGGCATTTAATTACGGTTAGATGAGCAACCAGGGTCCAGACTTAGGGCCCCTGGTGGGGTCCAGGGCTCGTAGCCCCCGCAAGCTCAGGGGTTTTTGGCATTTAATCACGGTCAGATGAGCATATTTGTATACGTTATTGTTGACATTGGCAGGTCACTAATTGGCGTGGGGCCCAGGGGGTGGAATCCTCAGAAGCTCAGTGGTTTTAGGCATTAATAACGGTCAGATGAGCATCCAGCGCCGGGCCCGCTTCAGGGCTCTTGATGGGGTCCAGGGGGCAGAGCTTAAGGGTTTTAGGCAAAAATAACCTTTGTTTCGAAAATATGCATAACATTTGAATGTGATAGTAAACCGGTTAAGGCAGTTCGTAAATAGCTTCGGAAACACATGACCCCAAAATATCCACAGATCTTTCACACGATGGAGACATCCTACTTGTGCACTTTAGAATAATCCCTGCCAAAGTGATGGAGGTGCTTCGTGAATACCTTTGGATTGCCTGTTAGGAAAAGTACTTCCACCTGTGTATCAAATAAATGTACTATGTTATTATGAAATAGAATGAATCTTTTTCCAATTTTAGGTACAGCGTTCAACATCATTCATAATAAATGGCCTTTTTATTAGCCTAATTCGAGTACAGATCAAATATTCTAAAAATTACAAATGGACCATGTTAATGATAACTGCGTGCTATGCTACCCGGACAAGAAATTATTCGGGACTGGGGTTGATGAGATATTTCCGAATTGCTAAAAAGGGTGGTCAGTACTCTAGAGATTAGCAGAGAGTTTGTTAGCTGTTTAATGGGAGAATTATATCGCGATTATTGTATGCCTACAATGCCCATGTCTTTGTAGCGCCCTCAAGTTCTCCGAGCATGATTTTTTTATATGCGCGATTGTATCAAAACATAACACAGAAAGAACACAGAAACCTCGTTTCTATTGTAGCGATACTAGTTGTTCTAGAAACGAAAAAAACCTTAAGCTGATGAGAAAAGTCTAATTGAAGTAATTTTGATTCACAAACCACGAAATACCAGCTTTCACGTTAAAAGTCCTAAACTGCATGTAAAATGAATGATCGCGTGCACACACATTGGAAACTTTGTTTTCGCAATGTCAAAATGACACGCCGCCTTTTTGTGTAAAAATGACACAGTTTTTACTCAGATTTTGATGAGATTTCCGGCACACTTACTCTTTTACGATCAAGCATGAGTGTAATACGACAATTTCAAACGAAATGTTAGGTGCGCAGAAATAAGGCCATAATACCTGTACATACGGGAAGATCATCCGACCATTGACCCTTCTCACATGTGATTTCACTAGATCCCACCAAGCGGTAATCATCTTCACATTCGAATGAAACTGTTGCACCAGATGTAAAGATATCTCGAGGCTGCTGTCTGGAACCAAATAGTAACCTCCCGTGCTCTGGAGCCGCAGGGACGTCGCACTCAGCAGCTCTAACACGGTATGGTATGGTATCTATTTTCCAAATCATAATAAAATTTTAAAAAATGCTACAAAATTGAAAAGACAAGACTATAATAGTCAATAGCTAGGCAGCCCACTTAGCTTTATTTATATGAAAGTTAGATGGAAATTGAGCTTACAATAAAAACAAAATACAGCTATACGGTAAAGTGGAGGACAGCATTTCACTCAATAGACGTCTCTTGAGAATTGTTTCAGCCTTTAAATTGAAGGCTCCAGTCAGGTGATGTAATTAATTTTAACTGTATTATTTATATTATAAATATGTATATCATTATCATTAATGCGTTAATTCACTTCTAACAAGAAAATATATATCTATGATGACATTCCTACATGGCCACAATCTTCATTTTACTTGAGGCTCAATTCTTCTTCATGTTTATGGCATTGTTTCAGAACGTGAGATGGAGCCTTTGCAAACTAACGAACCCACATCTGTATTCATACACATCTACTCAATGTACATGTGCGTCATCAGCAATTCTGCCGTTGTTTTTTTGGTGGGCATGTGAGGGTGTATAGATTTTATTCGGTATCTTTTTTGTATAACTATCAAGTAATGACATTGTATTGAAATAATTTTTTCTTTCTTTACTTGCCCTATTTTATTCATTGAATATTATTATTATCATTATTAAATGTTATAAGGTATCGATTGACTAAAGCATAGGTGCGTGAAAATTACTCCCTTTTTCTGTTACTGTATAATAATTTTTTTATAATTCACATATTTCAGTGGAATAATTAATGATGAATGAAATAAAAAAAAAAAAAATCGCGTGGCATTTGTGATAAAGGTTAGCGTACCTTTAAACAGCACATTTACGCTGTGAAATGAAGACGACCCACTGCATGTATACATGCCAGAGAAATCAGTAGAGATAGGATACAACCGTTTTCCCTGGGATTTTGGCCAGTTCCAATGCTGAAAGATAATGAAGGGATATGAACAACTGACATTTTCCAAAACATTCCATCATATTATACTCGAGTCACATAAATTAAGGCGCTGAATCTTGAACACCGTCTCGATCATAACAAACGGCTAAAATGTATTTTAATTTGCTTATTATTCCCTCTCTGTTTAAACTTTGGGACATCCAATAGACAGACAGCCCACAGGACCGAGAATGTAGATCTTGTATGCCGTCGGTCTAGTGATCTGTGGCCTTAGTATACTTTCGCGAAGTATATCAGTATCAGTCACTTATATGGTATATGGTGGTGTGTTGTTGTGTGATCCCCATGCATTACTTCGACCATGTTGCGTGTATGTGTGTGTATTTGGATTTTACAGACGTGTATCAATCAGATATATTATTTGCGACTGGGGACCGACGTTTAAACGTCACCATCCGAAAGACAAGACTCAGTTTCGAACCTTCGTCCTCGGCTAAATCAGTTTATAACTCCGATTGTTAGCTGGATTACAGGCGAACGCCACAACGCCTAGCTGCTAACCATGAAAGCACTTTTATAGGAAGTGATGTTACCTGTAAGTCTTCGTCATTCACGAGAGGAGTTGTCAGTCGAGGAGGTCCCAACCATGCACTTGTGATGTAACAGACTACATCAAGACGCATGGGATGGCCACGATGCACGTAAACCACGATTGTCCCATTACTAGCCACCTCACGCAATGCGCCGTAGAATAAGAATTGTGTTTCAACGGGTTCTACGAAGAAGAAAAACAATCGAATCATAGATTGTTAATTATTTTTGATGAATCCTTGTTCATTTGCAACAAAAATGATTAAAGGCCCGCAGCTTGAGAGGAAATATTAACCAAAATGGTCCCTAGTTTTTCATTAAAATCCGGCCCTAGACCTAACAAATCATTAAACACCTTAGAATAACTTTGATTGTTAGACCAGGGGCCCGTTTTATAAAGAGTTACGATTGATTTGGATAAATCGCAACTCATCCAATCAATCGCAAGTTCGCTGTTTCCTATCTCTTATTGTCATAGTTGCGATTAATATCAATTCTTTATAAGACTAAGTAGTTTTAAGAGCTGGAGACCCAACTGGCAACAAATCATTCCAAGCAGCTGCCGTTTTCTAAGGTTCAATAATCTCTCTCTCTCACTCACTCTTTTATATCTTTCTCTCTCTCTCTCTGTCTGACTTTCTCACACATTCACTCAGTCTCTTTATATTATTCTCCCTCCCTCCCTCACTCAGCCCCACCTCTCTCTTTCTCTCTCTCCCACTCTATCTTTCCCTCTCTTTCTCTATCTCTCTCTTTCTCTTACTCATCCCCCTCTCTACCATGGTCTTACTCTCTTTCTCTTTCTCTCTCCCCTCTTACCCTATCTTTCCTTTTCGCTCTCTACTTCATGTTTATCTCTCTCTCACCTCTCTCTCTCTCTCTTTCTCTCTTTCATTCTCAGTCCTTTTCCTCTTCTGCTTGCTTGCCATGTTTAATTCACGTTGCACACACGGGATTTTATGTTAATCAATACACAATAAATTAAAGCGAAGATTCCACTATTAATTTTACATTCATTTTGTATAAGATTTTACTCTGGTATGAAAGGTCAAAATAGAAAAGAAAATTCTGTTTAATCAAATATTAATTGTAAGGCTTTAAAATAAAAGGAACGAATGTTGTCCGAGGAATGATACGCTTTGTTGAACCTCAGTATATAAACCAGAGAAACAAAGAGGCGATCATTGTGCCATCCTTAATATTCTTTCCTTATTTGCTCAAAAGTTTCGGTTGAAGCGCTTTAACACTCACGGCATTCTGGTTCTTCCCCGGTCCACTGTCCTCCTTCACAAGTTCGTCGTTGATCACCAATCAATCTATATTTGCCAGGGTCTCTACATCTAGCAACTAGCTGGGTGCCAACGGGTAAGGTTGAACGGGTATAGTAGCTAGTTATTGGCCTCGTCGCTTCTCCATTCACAAACTGGCGAACTGGTCCACTGTTCCTTGGTACCGAACAAGGTAGCTCTGGAGAAAAACACCACAAAATATTGTAAAACAATTTTTACAAAACAACTAATATTAATATGAGTCGAAGGGCCATAAACCTGCTCTGAATTATTTTTCTTTCTCTATGTTGATGTTGGAAGTTTGAGGAATGCAAGTAAATATTATTGTTTGCAATATTTTACGAAAGATATATTCGCAGTTCCGCTAAAGGGATTTTTTATTCTTGTTTTGGGGTGGTAATGTTTCAAAATTCATGTCCTTAGAGCCGAAAGTTAGAAAAAAAGTATGTGACATAACTTTGTATTAAAGATACCCAGTTCATATATCAACTAGATTTGGATGAAAAATATTAATTGAATTCACTCTAATATAGATTTGTTTTCCTTTAAAATGCTCTCCAAATCGAATAAAGAAAACAGCCCATTAAACCTGATTAAGCCTTGATATTATGGATATAAGTTCCAGATGTTATGTTCCTGTAATAATTTTTTTTGTTAATCCTGTTGGAAAAAAAAAAGAAAAGGAGTTGTTTACTACATCGAGGCCATGGTGGGATCCATGTTCCATTAGAGCATTGTGTCGTCACGGATTGTGCGGTTGCACCCACATTGCATATTACTGAGACTTGAACCCTAGACCCACTAGGAACACCCGCCGACGAGGTGTTACCGCTACCGCCTATGACCGTGTAGCCCCCGAAACGATCACTTTCAGGCATGCATGGCGATGAGCCAACTAGGAAGGATATAAAAAAGACACATTCATAAACAAACTTATCTCCTTCAGAGAAAATATAGGACCATGTATGTCGAAGAAGTTCCGCTTACCAGTTTCGATTTCATGGCATGTTTATACATATATTTGTGTCCGCGTCTGATAAGAATCATATCACATAGAACGGTTTGTACAGTCTCGGTGTGGAAAGAAATAAAACACAGCTTGTGTTGGATCACATACCTGAAATCACACTTGTACGGCACCATGCACACACACACACACACATAACGCACACACACACACACACACCTACACAAAAACTCACACACGCACCTGCAAACACGCACACATACACATACCTTACAACCCCCACACACACACGCACACTCACACTCTCGCGCGCGCGCACCCGCACCTACCTTACACACCCTCACACACGCACACACGCACACACACGCACACACATAGACACACACGATATACGTACTCAAGAATGTTAAGATCATTCATCATATGAAATGTGCAAATAATCCGCATTTCTCTTTATGCATTTATATACTAAACTTGTGTTTACTCGCGGGTTAATGTATTTCGTTTACATTTGCGTAAACTTAAGTAATTTGTTGGTAACTAGGAACCTCAAACAATTAAACCATAAACGATTCATGCTTTTTTAGGTTACATAAATTCCGAAAAATACTACATGCATGCAAAGTGTGCAAATACGTGGCCTAAATCAGTAGGGCCAAACGAAATAGAAGAGGTTCCCAGCAGCAACAACAAAAAAGAGCAATTTTATAATAAGCTACGATAATCAAAACAAACATCGTAGAGAAAGCCCAATCTCCCCCAGAGGCGGATACCATCGTCATTATCATCATCATCATCTAATTCTTCTGGTGTGCTTTCTTCCCCATGAACATTTAATTTAATGCTATAATAATAATGATAATAATAATAATAACACTATTTATCAAGCGCAACATATCCATCTCTAGAGGTGCTCAACGCGCATACAAATAATTTAAATTAATATTCAACTTATTTAAGATTAAAGAAATGTTAAATGTAAACTCACAATAGATCACACAACTTCATGGAGCCATGGTACATACAATGTGGCACATTGGTATTATTAGCTTTGCATGTATTGTATAAAAAGAATATTGAAATTTAACAATATGCATTGAGCATCAGGTGAGTTTTAAGCCCAGTTTTAAAAGTAAAAAAAGAGTGTTGCCGTCTGAACAGAGAAAGGTAACTTATTCTACAAAGAAGGAGCTGCTGACGCAAATGCTCTATTCCCTAATTTCTTTTGGTACGTATTTCTTTAAGCCTAATATTGTGATGTGATACATTGGAATTTTTTTTTAATAGATTGTTCAGCCAACATTTTATCAAAATGTCGGATGATCTCAAGTACACACAGTGAAGGTCTTGAATGATAATTTACCCTTTTAAAACATATAAAACAGATAAAAACATCTACTTACCGCAAACTGAAGCAAGGAATAGTTGAATATAGATCAATATTCGAACAATGTCTTCAAATCGCTTTCCTTCCATCGTGGCCAACTGGGTTGACTGCCTCGAAGTAAAATGTGAGATTATATTTTTTGTAAGTGAGACCTACTTGATGGCATCGTGCTCATCAACGTATTATGTTTATATATGCAGGGTTTAATTTCAGGATGCCATTGGCATGGATCTTTTCTGAGGTTCCGGTTCACTTTCCGATTCTTTGAGGAAGCGAAATGATAAAGTCATTAACCTGAAACCTTTCATCATCTCTATGACGCGAGAATGTAGTTATTTTAACGCGTGAACCGTCCCTATATACTTCATGCCTTCCTATGTTATGGTCTACAAACACAGACCCTACATTTGACACTCTATTACAATCATTAATGTATTTTGAGTGAAGCCTAATCCAATGCCTATGCACTAAATAATCATATATGATTGACACAAGTCTGTAAAAACCCAATACACACACACAAACTATAGGGTGCCCGGGAGCGCTTTGGGGACTGAAGTTCCCCTCACGCGGGGACCCCAACACGGACAGGAGGAAGAAAAAAAAAGATGAATGCTCCATAGAAACCGACGATTTTAGAACAAGAAGCTGTAAATAATTCGTATCTCGGCAATCTTGCTTTTACTTGATACAGAGCATCCAATTTATACATGCGATCAATAGGTACCCGGTCATAATTAATATGTAAATAAAGAAGAAATAATAACTGAATGGGTATCTATTCCAAAACTAGCGTGTCTTAGTTGACCACAATGTGATTCTTCTAGGGAACGCAGACCTAATTTAACCCCTAGTAGCATGATTAGATTAAATACGAACGGTGGGATTTTTTCAATAGATTTGAATGTGAAACACCTTTTGTATTCTCTCATGCGAATTGTAAGGGGAGTTTGTATGTGATTTAATTTGATTCGTTTTGAGCTAGTTTATTGAATTAAAAAAAAGGATATACACTCAAAATAGCAGCCGAAGGCTGAAACAAATCGAATTTACAAAAGATCGAAAATTACATTAAAGTACATTAACTTGAAAGTTGGTTGGACAAAATACATTAATATATGAGGTAATAATTACATTGCCAAAAACATAAATCAACAAGGAAATGGAAAAGGCAGGGAAATGATAAAGACAGACGAGATTTATTAAAAAAAAGAGACAAAGTAGGAATGACATTGCTAAAAAAAAGTAAACGAGGAAATAGAAAAAGACAGGGAAAATGAAAAGAAAAGACGAGATAAAGCTTGAAATAGGAGAAGAGGGAGAAATTTAGGTGAATTAATCTAAATAATTTAACATATGACAAGGAAATGCCTTCTATCATTGTTTGCATGTTCGAAAGTACTTTACACCCTGGAAAAGGCTTGGATGGGATTGTAGAGAGTAAATAGAAAAGGGAAGAGAGGAAGAGATGATTAGAATCAATCAATTTGAATCAATTAAGTTCCCTTTTCAGAAACTATACCGCATGGAGCTGTATATAACAACTCTATGCTTTACCCTCATCTAGATACTGAACAAGCGTTGATGAGTATTATCATAGAAGTAGAAGTAGAAGTAGAGTATTTACTGCGGTCTCGGTGTAGACTGCTAGCTCAGAACCTATGTTATGAATTATCATTGTTTGCATATCGGAAAGTACTTTACACCCTGGAAAAAATGCTTGGATTGAATTGTAGAGAGTAAATAGAAAAGGGAAGAGATAATTAGAATAAATCAGTTTGAATCCATTTAGTTCCCTTTTCAGAAACTGTACCGCATAGAGCTGTATATAACAACTCTATGCTTTACCCTCATCTAGATGCTGAGCAGGCGTTGATGAGTATTATCATAGAAGTAGAAGTAGAAGTAGAGTATTTACTGCGGTCTCGGTGTAGACTGCTTGCTCAGAACCTCTGTTATGAATTACGACTGACAAGTGAATGTGCCTGCAAACTACAGATGTTCCTTTATTACCTTTACAAACCCTCCATCTTCATGTTTAAACTTTTGAGACAAGCTATTCCCTGAAAACAAAAATCTTCTTTCTTCCGAAAAATATACCTCCCTACGTCTCTCTTACAATCTCAACCTCTCAATACCTTTTGTGATAAACCTCTCTCACTCTCTCTTACATTCTCTACCTCTTAATACCTTTTGTGATATACCTCTCTCCCTCTCTCTAACATTCTCTACCTGTCAATACCTTGTGTTATATACCTCTCTCTCTCTCTGTTACATTCTCTACCTCTCAATACCTTTTTTGATATACCTCTCTCCCTCTTTCTTACATTCTCTTCCTCTCAATACCTTTTGTGATATACCTCTCTCACTCTCTCTTACATTCTCTACCTCTCAATACCTTTTGTGATATACCTCTCTCTCTCTCTGTTACATTCTCAACCTCTCAATACCTTTTGTGATAAACCTCTCTCACTCTCTCTTACATTCTCAACCTCTCAATACCTTTTGTGATAAACCTCTCTCACTCTCTCTTACATTCTCAACCTCTCAAAACCTTTTGTGATATACCTCTCTCTCTCTCTCTTACATTCTCAACCTCTCAAAACCTTTTGTGATATACCTCTCTCCCTCTCTCTTACATTCTCAACCTCTCAATACCTTTTGTGATATACCTCTCCCCCTCTCTCTTCCACTCTCAACCTCTCAACACATTTTGTGATAAACTTTCCAATTTGGTCATGAATGACCAAACAAGCTCTTTCAATCTAGCTTGCCAATTGTTCATTTTTATTCTCAACCGATGCTTGCCCTTTTGTGTCCATTGCATGAGCAAGGAACCATTCTACAAAAATTGTCTGCTTTGACTGGCAAGGTTACAACAATTGCACAAGATGATTCCGAAACTGTAATGCGATTATACTTTATTCGACATTATATTCTTTTGAAATGTGTAAAATGTTTTGTTTGTCATACAGTGCGTCCCAGAAAAAACGAAACCGAGAATTATCGATGTTTTATCTTAACTTAATCACAATTATAATTGATAAATGACACGTATTTGTAAAGCTTAGATCCTCCTCTTTCATTTGTAACTCGTATAATCCATATTTCATGCATGAGTGATTAAAATGGATATGAAGAGAGGAAACCAAAAAGTGATTTGGCGGGCGGTAAATGAATTTCAAAGGGAAAATCACATTTCTAGAAAGTTAAGTTTCTGTCCTTTCATATGACACCACAGTCAAAGTTCTGTTTGTTTAAAGTAGTGCTTGCATTTCCATAATTTTATCAAATTCGTTTTCACTGGCTGTCTGATGTAGCAACAAACGGAATTAACAAAAGACTTAACTCCGTTTCGTTGACAATCAGCCGTAGACGAAAGACTTTTCATGCATGGCTGATTGTCAACGAAACGGAGTTAAGTCTTTTGTCAATTCTGCTTGTTGCTACGACAGGGAGCCAGTGAAAACTAATTCGTTTGATAAAATTATGGAAATGCAAGCACTATTTTAAACAATCAGAACTTTGTCATTCTTAGCTCATTTTTCATGATTGAGGTGTCATATGAAAGGGCAGACACTCAGCGTTTTAGAAATATGATTTTTGCTTTGAAATAACAACAATAATAATAAAGATATATTTATTGAGCGCATAATAAACCGAAGTTTCTCTATGCGCTTTACAATACCGCCCGCCAGATCACTTTTTGGTTTCCTCTCTTCATATTCATGTTAATCACTCATGCATGAAATATGCATCATATGAGTTGCATCAAATGAAGGAAGAGAATCTTAGCTTTCCAAATATGTGTCATTTATTAATTATAAATGTGTCTAAGTTATGATAAACCGTCGATAGTTCTCGGTTTCGTTTTTTCTGGGACGCACTGTATATTTGTAAAAATGCAAAAGAAAAAAGAAAATCAAACAGAAATAAATGAATCAAATCAAATCAAATATAGTACAGTTTTGAGATCAACCGAGAAGCTATAGTTTAAACCGTGACCCACACGAAGCAGTCATTACTTGTTCTATTTACCGCATTCGCATGCTGATTAAAAAAAGAGAGATATTTTGACATAATTCGTCCCTTAAATGTATTTTTGGTGGGATACTTCTTCCCGTTTAAGAGCATTGCGCGTGTCTCACTTCACGGATCCGTTGGTAAATTTAAGCGCATCCACCACAGTGTAGCGAGCGTGCCTAGCCCCCGAGAGACTAACTAATAAATAATCTTGTTTAATCTTTTCTTATCGAATTTGTCCTCTAACTCTTGAATTTAAAGGATGCCGATTATACCATGTTAATATGTTATTCGATTTAATCAAAGTATATGATTGAAATCGATGACTGCATGGGTGAGAGATGTTTGTTGTTGTGACATGGAGCATACTAATACAGACAAAAGAAAGAAACATGTTAATGGACTAAGATTTTAGGTTCAAATTTAACCCCCCAAAAAATCAATATTTATTCAATAACTACATCATTTGCAATATTCGCCACTTTTACATATATAACTGTTCTAATGTAAAGATTAATTAATGAAATCTTAATTAACTCTGACTAACATTTTATCAAATACGAATAAACCGAAAAGATTCGTATTGTTTGCTTGGGGACTAATTTGCTAAGTTCTAAAAGATAATTGCTATGTTCAATATGTATAGGACTATCATAATTGACTTAGAAATACATTTTTTAATAATAAACCAACACGCCGTTAATTTATCTAAATTCCAATATATACTGATAGGGAAGTTGTGTACTGGGGAAGTTCTGTCTCTGATTTCTGTTTAAAAGAGAGGGGAGATGAGCTCGTGCGAGCCTCTTATACGCATATATATCTATCCAGATAATAATAATATAATAATAATATATTCATTTGTAAAGCGCAATAATTATGTGGATATATTCTACTGCGCTGCAAGAGCTCGTAAATAATGTGCTATACATACTACATGAACAAGTGATATTTCAGTCTGATTAAAATGTTTCTAGTGATAGGGCTTTCCTTATTTGTAGTGGTAATCTATTCCTTAATCTGCACAAAGAAATGACCCGTCTCCGAGGGTTACTTTGGTTTTATATGGGGGAATTTGCATCATAAATGTGTCTTGTATACTGCGAAGGTTACGACCATGAGTTTGAGACATAACATTCAACAATTCAGTATTAACATAACTAGGAGTTTGACCACTTAAAGTTTTGTAAATTTGTGGAGTCTGGCAATCCATACGATAAACTATTACAGTAATCTAGTTTACTAGTGATACATACATGCATGATAGTTTTCATGCTGTCCTGATCAAAGTATTTACGAATACATCTCAGTTATAAATCAAGAAATCTAGGATATGCGAACGTGCGAACAACTTACTTAGCTTAACGATAAACTGACTGTGTAAATTCACATTTATTCTTCTAAATTGTGTTAATACAACAAATGAAATGCATACTCGACGTAAATCCAATTTAGTCCTGGGTACTCAATTATAAAAGCAAATTCCAATTGTGCGATGTAGGATAGTTGTCAGGGGGTAGTTGTCCAAGAGGATGGTTGTCGCTGGGTGTAGTTGTTTTGGGGTAGTTGTCCTGGGGGTAGTTTTTAGGGAGAAGTTGTCCGAGGGGGGTAATTGTCCTAGAGGTTGGTTATCCTAGGGGTGGTTATCCGGGGTGGTTGTCCAGGGGGTAGGTATCCGGATACGCTGTTTTACATCAGATTGGAAGCATGCCATGATCCATCACTGCTGCAACATCCAAGTAATGTTCGGTCAAATTACCCTGCAAAACATAAAATATATGGATGGTAAACAAGACTTCAAATATTTCAATCATTTCTCATGATGACGACCGAATTGTTAAGATCATCAACGTTACACTGCAGCTGTTTTTGGTCATGTAAACTGTTAGCAGTGTAAGTGCAAGAAAGATAAATGATTATTCATTTCTTCAGACAAAAAATATGTGCTTCCCCCTGCATAAATATGAATTAGGAATTTTGACTTAGACATCCCCCCCCCCCTTTTTTCTTCACCTTTGATAGAATATACTGATGTATGGACATTTTGCGGATATTAACACGTTTGAACTATCTGTTGAACCATTTTTCAATGAATTATTAAAACGAATGAACCAGCAAAGTGTGAATATATTGCTTTCAATTTGAAGAAGCTGTGCGAAGAAAAATCACAAAATTAGGTCATGATATATGACGTTGTAAGGAAAGCTTTTATAATTGAGAACACGAATCATTTTCCATGACACTCTCAAAACTTCAAATCCTGGCTTGAAAGCGAGATGTATGGGTACTGAATCATGACGTCACACTTGGGACAGGAAGCCGGAACGTCAGCTCGGGGCGCTAGTGAGAAGCACACATACATAGAGTGTACACATGCAAGGTTGTATAGTGAAAGTGGACTAACAATCTATCGAATTCGATTAATTAAACTTTAAATTACCTATTATGCCATTTGTACAAGGTTAGAATGACTATTGCATTTTTATAATTTCAAATATCTTGTTAATTTTTGTTGTTTGTTGAGATGTCATCGCATGAATGGGGATGATGACGATTATGATGATGATTTTGTATGCAGTTCGACCGCTTCTGTTAATAATAATAATAATAACAATATTTGTGAGGCGCAACATATCCATCTCTAGAGATGCTCAAGGCGCGTACAAATAAATTAAATTTATATCAGTTCAGGGGGTGGGGGAGGGAGGCGAGGGGGCTTGGGGATAGTTGCCCCCCCCCCCCCCCCATAGAATTCGACCGTAGTTTATTTCTAATTCGATACCAGTGATTTAAAAATGTTGCTGAAATATTTTCGGGTATTCTTTCTCACTTTTTATTAAATTATACTTTTGTATGCGTTTGTTTGAAAATAAATATATACATATCAGAGCCAGCGGAACGGCAGGGCTCGGGGGCTCGAGTCCCCCCCCCCCCCCTTCCCACCCACTTTGTTGAAAAAATATATTAAAGAGAAATAGAAAAAAAAAAAGGAAAGAACAAAAAATAGTGACTTGGCAGTGACACAAAATAATTAGGTATCAAAATATGCTCATCTGACCGTGATTAAATGCCTAAACCCCCTGAGCTTCCAGGGGCTCTGCCCCCGGACCAAACCAAGGGCCCGCCCTAAGACAGGGCCCCTTGAAGTTCATTTGACCATTATTAAACGCCTAAAGCCTCTGAGCTTCGAGGGCTCTAAGGCGGGCAACTGGATGGTCATCTGATGGTAATTTAATGCCTCGAACCCCTGATCTTCCGAAAGCTCCGCCCCGGTCCCTTTGCTAATTAGTAACCTGCCAGTGTCACAAATAAGCTATCAAAATGTGCTCATATGACCGTAATTAACTGACTAAAACCACTGAGCACTGCCTGATAGACCCCACATAGGGCCCTAGGCAGGCCCCTGCATGCTCATCTGACGATTTCCTTCCCTGGAGAGGGACAAATTCGACTTAAGAGTCTTCATCAATATACCACAGTGTTCCACGTGATTGCATAGTGTATCAAAAAATTGGCAGTATAGTTCCATTACAATTCCACACATCATTTCTTTTTGGTGGTATTATTTAGAACACAATGTGTAATGATAATGATCTGCTAAATCAGAACGAACATATTCAAGAAGAAAAATGTACAGAGATGCGACATTTTAACATCTTAATCATCACCGTCTCACAAAGATTTATGGATTTAACATATAGACATGGACATATTACTCGTTCTATTGTGCCCACTCAGGATGATGATCCAGAAATTTGCTCTGGCAATAATTGCCCCGGAATTTATCCCGTCAAAGTTATAGGGTTCAGTTAGGTTAACCCTAAAAACGCCGGGCTATTTGAGGTCTTAGTATGGCCGGGGGGGGGCATTATAGCCCCCCCCCCTTAAGATCTCGGCTGCGAAGCGGCCGATCGCCGCGAAAATGTGCACGCATGTCAAGTTAACTGTATAGAATAATATGATAATTTCAATTTTTTGAAAAATTTACTCATTTGCATATTTATGGTAATTTATGCAAATAAAGTCATACAAATCACACTTTTACCCATAAATCATATATTATTCATATTTAAGCATTCTTTTTCACTACATATATTCATTAGACCATTCTGAATAATAATACGACAAAAAATTTGGAAGAGACAGCTTATTTTTTATGTTATCCCTTGTTTTGATAATTTCTTATGTATTTCATTGTTTTCAAACTTATGTATTACATTGTTTTTGTTGTTTTATTTCATTTCTTACTACAATTCAACTATTTCGACTCCCTAAACAACCACCTAAACTTGAAACAAGACCCAATAACCGATGTTTGATCTGTTTTTAGGAAAAATGACTTTTCCATATGTTTTGTACACAAATCACGAAAATGAGCGATTTTCGGGCTGACATGCAAAGACAAAAGGTCACGTGACCTTGTAACCGTAGATCCGATTTTCAAATTATTTTTTTTTAAAGTTGCGCAAGACTCGACAAAAAAAAAGTCAGCGAGCGGCGGGGCGCCATCCATATGCGTTCCCGAGCAATCGGAAAATTCGTGGAGGGGGGGGGGGGGGCACAATGCCCCCCCCCCCCCCGGCCTTATTAGGGTTAAAGATAAAGACCAGTTATGGTCATTCGATTGCATTGTGAAAGAAACGTTGTGGAATCGATCAGAAAAGGTTGATTATCTAGCATATAAGTAATGGTGTGCACTGCAAGGTTCTGGAATTACCAAAATGATAAGAAATTTGGCCCAGTTTGGTAAAGTTACAAGCACTGTACACAAAAAGATTTATATGGGACTACGCGACACGTGTGCGCCATCTATTTGGTCCAAATAGATATAATACTTTACCAAATATATCAATTAGTAGGCGGTTTCTCGGCAAAATTTGTCACATCACGTAATAGTCAAAACATATTCTTTCACATGATTGGTAATAAGAGCTTCCATTTCATTTTTGAGAGGGGGGCGTTTCCAAAACTGGTCTGTACCTTTAAGTGTCGGGTTTAGGAGTAAAGCAATGGAACATTTTTTGTCACCGGAGCGTGTGTCATACAATCCTAGGGATTCTTTTTTGAGACGCTTGATATTATGTTGTAACACTGCGGAACGAGAAGTTCTCCTGAGATCCTCTGATACTGCACATCTCTGAATAACAGGTTGGGACTCATATTGCCTATATATAAAGACGCCAGTACGAGTAGTGTACACAATTTCCTTCAAAGCCTTACCTAAGAGAGTCGGTATGCAAATAACGGTGGCGTCCACGTCACCAGTTGGACAAGCTTGTAGATTGCCGAAGTTCGCTTCCTTACAGCCGAGGAAATTATTCTCTGTACCGGTACACTCCACGTCGGTGATGAACACCCTACCGTTACCGCTCCCGACGCTACCGCTTGAAGCCTCCGCACCGTTCGGATACCCCACTGTTCGACAAACCACGTTTGCTTCTCTTCGGTCCCACTCCGAACCGGCACACATCCTGCCCCATTCACCCATACCAGCGAAGCCCTGTTTGTAAACCTCTACCCGACCTTCGTTTGGCGTCGAACCACCGACTAATCGCAGATCAACATCTGGAAAGCACACACAGAAAAAAGTATAGACTGTGAAGTATTGTCTTATAAGTGTAATCATCAAACATAATTATTCTGTCAACATGAAAGATGAAGACTTACACCAAAAAACTTCGGCCTATATAAAAGTACATGTTTGCCTTCATTCCATCTTAACCAAAACCACTTTTCCGGTTTCCACAAAACGAATAATGTTGATTTTTTGCCGAACCAGTCAATATAATTATCTTTAATGGGTTTTACTCGGCACAAACTACCACGAAATACAAATACACTGTTGATGTTATGTTTGAAAAAGGCTAGCTGTGTGTTGACAACTCTTCGTGATTCGTCATCTGAAAATAATATTCTAGGAATAAATAGTCCAATACCAATAGATGACTATAATTAAGTGGCTGTCTGCATTGAGACCGTTAAAGGGATAGTAGAGTTTTGTTGTCGAGGTTTTTTAAGATGGTTAGAAAACTTATTTCGTGATAATAGCTGACAAAAAAAAACTTTCAGGTGAATCTACAGGTTTTGAATTAGAAATTTGCATATTAAATCATATGCAAATTTATGAGGTCACTAATAATCGGAAACAATCAAATATGTTAAAATAAAATTATATCCCTATTTTGATATGATTTACAAAGCTTTCGTATTAACTTGGTGGAGATTAGATTAATATCTACTGAGAAACAGGGTAAAATGGTAGGCGCATAATTCACGGACCCTAAGGAATTGTTCAAAACACGAAAGACTGACATTTTTACGTATCGTCAATTAAGGGGAAGAATAACAAACGTCTAGATGAGTTTCTTTTCTTGGGAACATCTTTTTTCTGATAAAATGGATCCCAATGAACAAGATGACACTCAAGAAGTAGGATAATAGGGGGTGCACGGTAGTCCCTCTCGCCCACGGACTAAAAGGACAATGCCGATGTTACCTTTTTGTTGGGTTTGTTCGTGTTGTTTATAGTATGCACAACCAGCCGGCCCGTGTATTGTTATTATTATTAATTAATTAATTAAAGGTCACCGTGTTTTTTAAAAGTAGAAAAGAATTGGTATTATCGTATTTGCTCAATTTCACACATTTTGGGGTCTACCTTCATAGCAATGTTAGGTTCTAAAAGGACACTAAAAATGTCATAAATAAGAATAAGAGCAATAACCACGCACTGTGAAGGCTTCTGCGGTCTTAAACAAGAACTCAACTATTCCTTCAATGTTTTTGATAATACATGGTTGCAGCGACTGCTGACGCCGCAGCGCCGTATCAAGATAATCAAAGCCTGGATTTTCCTCAAATTGACCGGAGCGGGTGGGGGGGGGGGGGGGGGGCAGGTATGCCTACTGCAGGTTGATACTTTAAACGGGGTTGGGTGCCCTGTTGGCTCCATTCTGCGCTGGAAACGTCACTGTATGACATATTAATTATGTGCTCACCTTTGAAACTGCATTGTACCCCTGCATCTTGCGTATGCCTGCAGACATCCACCCTAGGTTCCTCGTTAGGACAATCTTGCAGACGTTCTTCTTCACCCGTACACGTGGAGTTCGTATACAAGATAGGTCCTTCACCTTCACCATACATCACGTCATACTTGACAGCTGTTCGGTTCCCGAGCTCCCGACATACCACTGTAGCATCGTCCATGTCCCATGTTTCATTACAGACTGTCCCCCATCGACCATTGACCCTGACCTCTACTCGACCCTCATAGTTACCACTACCACCATAGAGACGAATATCAAGCTCTGCAAAATGACCTAAAGTAGAGAAAAATATCAAGATTAGAGGAGCAATTTTCTTTCAAAATAATGATGAATAATGAACTAGAAGTAGAAGAAAGGTAAAAGTAACAGGTAGATGAAGGAGGAGGATGAAAAGGAAAAGGTGAACGAGGTGCAAACTGAGAAGGAAAAGGAGATGTCAAAGTATAAGTTGAAGTAGATGCAGGAGTAGGAGAGAAAGAGAGTAGGAATAGGAGTAGGAATAGAAGTAAGAGAGTAAGAAAGTAGGAGTAGAAGTAGAAGTAGAAGAATTAGAATTAGAAGTAGAAGTAAAATTAGAAGTAGAAGTAGAATGAGAAGGAGAAGTAGAAGTAAAAGTAGCCGTAGATATAGATGTAGAAAGAGAAGAAGAAGGAGAAGAAAAATAGAAGGAGAAGTAGAAGAAGAAGTAAAAGTAGGAGTAGAAGTAGAAGTAGCCCTCGATGTAGATGCAGAAGGAGAAGTAGAAGTAGAAGTAGAAGTAGCGGTAGCCGTAGATGTAGATGTAGAAGTAGAAGGTGAAGTAGAATGAGATTGAGAAGAAGAAGGAGAAGGAGAAGGAAAATATGAAGTAGAAGTAGAAGTATAATGAGAGGGAGAATTATAAGGAGAAGTAGAATTAGAAGGAAAAGGAGAAGGAGACCGAGAAGGAGAAGGAGAACGAGAAGGAGAATTAGCGGTAGAATGATAATCATACAGTAATATAATGATATATAAGTTTTCTAAGGCACCAAATCCACTTACAAATTAAATTCTCAAGGCGTATAAGTGCAAAACATGAAAACACATAAAAATACTTGTACACAAAAACAATATAACACAAAAAGAAGAAAAATCAGATGAACTAAAAGCAAACTGAAAAATGTGTGTTTTAAGGTTGCATTTGAAAGACTCTTCTGTAGGAATATCTCTGACCGCTAGATAGGGGCGGATCCAGGGGTCAGAGGGCCTGGTCCCCCTAACCTGGCAAAACAAAATTAAACAAAAAGATGGTACTGTTAATATTTGTTTTATTTTTTTTAAAGTTTAAAATAAAATGGTACTCACTACCCCCCCCCCCCCCCCCCCGCCCGATTATTCGCCGGCTGGCTGATTCGCAGCTAACAATTTTCTCACGAATTGGGCCCATTCTTTGCCCCTCCCCCATTGCTGCCACCTGGATCCGCACCTGACCAGACGTGCAAATTGACGATGTTCCTTTAAGATCTTAAATGGGAAGTAAACAGCCCCCTCTATGGACACATGGATTGCTGCGGCATGCATTAATTAGCATCTATGGTAAGGTGCGGGGGGTGGGGGGATAAATATGACGTTGGTATTATGTAAATGTATTAGTGATAAAGGTCATTTGAATTCGTTCAATGAGGAAAATAATTTGCCTATCTTGAGTTTTGTAATAAACATACATTTATGTAATTGGATTTTATATAGCGCAAATCCAATAAAACATTGCTCAATGCGGTTTTCAACACAAATTAATGACGGAGACAATGGACAGAATGAGGGAAAATATAGAAATAAACATTCAGTTGTCGTTGTTCTTTTTAAAACAGTCAATTGAGGTGAAAGTGGGGAGAAATGAAGGGAGGGGTTCCTTTCAAATGAAATGTTAGGTGCGCAGACGAAAGGCTCCCCATCATACCTCTACATACGGGTGGATCATCCGACCATTGACCCTTTTCATATGTGATTTCCCTATATCCCACCTAGCGGTAATCATCTTCACATTCGAAAAAAAACGTTGCACCAGCTAGAAAACTCTCTCGAGGCTCCTGGCTGGAACCATCTAATAACCTCCCGTGCTCTTGAGCCGCAGGGACTTTGCATTCAGCAGCCTTATCACGGTCAAGAGAAGGACATAATTTCACTCAATATACGCCTATTAAAGGGATTTGCGTATCTTTGTCTCAGATTCTACACAAAATCCTGGATTTAGCTCATGCTGCAATCATAATTATAAACCTTTAGGTCAGTCAGAAATCCCCTGAAGTTTACAAGCCGATTAGATTAGATCGGTGCCCAGGGGCTGACCGCCCGGGCACCGAGCGTATTTTGGTGCCCCGCGTACTTTGGGCGGTGAGTAAAAGTGAGCAGGCGCCGGCCAAATTTTAACTCCGTGCTAAAACTTCAGCGGCGACCGAGCAATCCCCTAAAAACAAGCGGTGCCCGGGCGAAAGTGGTTCAAAACTCGCCCCCCCCCCCCCTCCCCCCCCCCCCCCAGCCGCCGAGCAGGCTACTTTTTGGTGTTGTGACCATAGCTTAAGTGACCTGCCAGTGTCATGAATAAGGTATAAAAATTTGCTAATCTGACCGTAATGAAATGCCCATACTCCCTCAGTTTCCGGGACTCTACCTGATCGGAAATATTTTAGCCCACCCCACCCACAATGAAAACGTTAAGCGGGGCCATTTTAACATCTAAATCATCATCGCCTCTCGGAGATTTATGGATTGAACATAAGACATGAACATAATAATAATATATTACACGTTCTATTGTGATGGTGATCCAAAAATTTGCTCTGGCGTTAATTGCCCCGGAATTTATCCTGTCAAAGTCATAGGGTTAGGGTTAGTGTCGGGTTTTGGAATAAAGCAATGCACCGGAGCGTGTGTCGTAAAATCCTAGGGATTTTTTTTGAGACGCTTGATATGTTGTAACACTGTAGAACGTGAAGTTATTCTGAGATCCTCTGATACTGCATATCTCTGTATAACAGGTTGAAACTCATATTACCTATAAAGACGCCAATACGAGCATTGTACATATTTCCTTCAAAGCCTTACCCAAGGGAGTCTGTATGCAAACAACGGTGGCGTCCACCTCACCAGTTGGACAAGCTTGTAGATTGCCGAAGTTCGCTTCTTTACAGCCGAGGAAAGTATTCTCTGTACCGGTACACTCCACGTCGGTGATGAACACCCTACCGTTACCGCTCCCGACGCTACCGCTTGAAGCCTCCGCACCGTTCGGATACCCGACTGTTCGACAAACAACGTTAGCTTCTCTTCGGTCCCACTCCGAACCGGCACACATCCTGCCCCATTCACCCATGCCAGCGACTCCCTTCTTGTAAACTTCTACTCGACCTTCGTTTGGCGTTGAACCACCGACTAACCGCAGATCAACATCTGGAAAACACACACAGAAAAAAAGTATAGACTGTGAAGTATTGTCTTATATTAAATGTAATCATCAAATATAATTATTCTGTCAACATGGTAGATGAAGACTGAGACCAAAAAAACTTCGGCCTATATACTAAAGTAGATGTTTCCCTTTATTCCATCTTCATATGGCTCCGGTTAGTCTCATTTCACAACGCCCCCTATCGTCAGAGCATGATAAGAGTCAGCAGCCTAACATGTTAGCCTATGGACGTTTTTTTTTAAAAATCGTTAAAAATTCATTTTTTGTTTAAACGAAAAGCACATCCACCCGGACGTACGTTATCACTAGCTCTTTCATTGGAGCCCTCATGTCTCATTGACTTTTGAAAGTTCACCCACCGTAATTTTTCAAAATAGGTTGCAAGCTCGTCATTGCCTATAATACACATGTGAAACAAGTCTAACTTTGGACTTTACCAAGCGATTTGAAGATTATAGGTCGAGCACACGAAACATAAAAAGCATGAATTATCATAGATCACTTCTGCCTATTTCATTATGTCCATTTCATCCAACCCCCCACCGTAATTTTTCCATTTAGTAAAAGCAAACATTTTGCCGAGTTTAGCAAAAACATGAATATTCATGAACGGTCAGACAATACAGCCTTTATAGTACGTAACGTATAGTGAATGGAATGGGCGATGATCCGTTCAGGAGGTAGAGGTCAGTGGTTTGTGCTGGCAATGTTCACGCGAGCGAAAATGAGACAATCGGAGCAATATGAAAGATAAACTTGAGTTCTGGTAAAAGAAAGAAAATGAATTCTCACAGAATCTAACGAAACTTACACTGAATGTTCAAGATTACAAATAAATGTCATGTGCCAAACAATTTTGGAAGAAAATGTATACTGGCTGAGTAATGAGCATAGAAAGATAAGGAAATCAGGGTAGTACTAGCCCCGACACCATGTGTGTTGTCCCATATACATCTTTCTGTGTAAGTGATTGTTACTTTACCAAGACTCTGCCAAATTTATGATGATTTTGATGACTCCAGAACCTTGCATTACACATTATTACTTACATGCTATATGATCAACTTTTCTGATCCATTCCACACCTTTTCTTTCACAATGCAATCGCATTACCAGAACTCAAGTTTATCTTTAACCAGAACAACTTTTCCAGTTTCCAAAAAAAAAAATGTTGATGTTGTGCCGAACCAGTCGACATAATTATATTTAATGGGTTTCATTCGGCACAAACTACGACGAAATACACTGTTGATGTTATGTATGCATAAGGCTAGATGTGTGTTGACAACTCTTCGTGATTCGTCATCTGAAAATAATAGTCTTGGAATAAATAGTCCAATACCAATAGATGACCATAATTAAATGGCTGCCTGCATTAAGACCGTTAAATGGATAGTGGAGTGTTGTTGCAGATTTTTTTTTAGGGGGTTAGAAAACTTATTTCGTGATAATAGCTGACAAAATACAGCTTTCAGGTGATTTTACAGGTTTTGAGACATAAATTTGCATATTAAATCATATGCAAATGATATATGAAATCATATCATATGAAAACAATCAAATAAATTAAAATAAGATTGTTTACCTATTTGTGTATGATTTACATAGCTTTTGTATTAAATTGGTGGAAATTAGATTAATATCTACTGAGAAACAGGGTAAAATGGTAGGCGCATAATTCACAGACCCTAAGAAAGTGTGCAAAACACGAAAAACTGATATTTTTACTTATCTTCAAATAAGGGGAAGAAAGGTTTCTTTTCTTTGGAACATCCTTTCTCTGATAAAATGGAACCCAATGAACAAGATGACTCCCGAGAAGTAGGATAATAGGGGGAGTACACGGTAGCCCATAATACGCACAACCAGCCGGCCCGTGTATTGTTATTATCAATTAATTAATGAATTAACGGTTACCGTATTTTTTTAAAGTGGAGATGAATTGGTTTTATCGTATTTGCTCAATTTCACACATTGTAGGGTCTAAAAATTACCTTCATAGCAATTATAGGTCCTACATGGGCACTAAAAATATCATTAATAAGAATAAGAGCAATAACCATGCACTGTGAAGGCTTCTGCGGTCTGAAACAAGAACTCAACTATTCCTTTAATGTTTTTGATAATACATGGTTGCAGCATCTGCTTACGGCAGCGCCGTATCAAGATAATCAAAGACTGGACTTTCCTCCAATCGACCGGAGCGGGGTGGGTGGGGGGGGGGACAGGTATGCCTACTGTAGGTTGATACTTTAAACGGGGTTGGGTGCCTTGTTGGCGCCATTCTGTGCTGGAAACGTCATTGTATAACCTATTATGTGCTCACCTTTGAAACTGCATTGTACCCCTGCATCATGCGTATGCTTGCATACATCCACCGTAGGTTCCTCATTAGGACAATCTTGCAGACGTTCTTCTTCACCCGTACACATGGAGTTCGTATACAAGATAGGTCCTTCCCCTTCACCATACATCACATCGTACTTGATAGCTGTTCGGTTACCGAGCTCCCGACATACCACTGTAGCATCGTCCATGTCCCATGTTTCATTACAGACTGTACCCCATCGACCATTGACCCTGACCTCTACTCGACCCTCATAGTTACCACTTCCACCGAAGAGACGAATATCAAGCTCTGCAGAATGACCAAAAGTAGACAAAAATATCAAGATTAGAGGAGCAATTTTCTCTGAAAAAAATTATGAATATTGAACAAGAAGTAGAAGAAAGGTAAAAGTAACAGGTGGATGAAGGAGAAGGAGGAGGAAAAGGAGAACGAGGTGGAAACTAAGAAGAAGAAGGAAAAGGAGATGTCAAAGTATAAGTGGAAGTAGGAGTAAGGGTAGGAAAGATAGTAGGAATAGGAGTAGTAATAGAAGTAAGAGAGTAGGAAAGTAGGAGTAGGATTTGGAGTAGAAGTAAAAGTAGAAGTAGAAGTGGAATGAGAATAAGATGGAGAAGTAGAAGTAAAAGTAGCCGTAGCCATATATGTAGATGTAGAAGTAAAAGTAGAAGTAGAAGGAGAAGTAGAATGAGAAGGAGGGTGAGAAGTAGAGGTATAAGTAGAAGTAGAAAGAGAAAGAGAAGCAGAAGGAGAGGGAGAAGGAGAAGAAGATGTAGAAGGAGTAGTACAAGGAAAAGTAGAAGTAGGAGTAGAAGGAGAAGTAGCCGTAGATGTAGATGCAGAAGGAGAAGTAGGAGTAGAAGTAGCAGTAGCCGTAGATGTAGATGCAGAAGGAGAAGTAGAAGTAGGAGTAGAAGTAGGAGTAGCATTAGCCGCACCCGTAGATGTAGATGTAGAAGTAGAAGGTGAAGTAGAATGAGAAGGAGAATTATAAGGAGAAGAAGAAGTAAAATGAGGAGAAAGAAGTAAAAGGAGAACGAGAAGTAGAAGTAAAAGTATAAAGAGAAGGAGAATTATAATGAGAAATAGAATGAGAAGAAGAAGGAGAGGCAGAAGGAGAACGAGAAGGGGAAGGAGAAGTGGAAGGAGAATTAGAAGTAGAATTATAATAATTCAGTAATATGATGATATATAGGATTTATGAGGCGCAAATCCACTTAAAAAATTAAATTATCAAGGCGCACAATTGCAAAACATAAAAACACATAAACATACTTATAAACAATATAACACCCCCCCAAAAAAAAATTAGATCAACTAAAAGCAAACTGAAAAATGTGTGTTTTAAGGTTGATTTTGAAAGACTCTACCGTAGGAATATATGTGACTGCTAGACAGGGGCGGATCCAGGGGAGGGGGCCTGGTCCCCCTCCCCTGGCCAGAAAAGAAAAAAAGGGGGAAAAATGGTACTGTTAATTTTCTTTTTGTCTAGCTTAAAATAAAATAGTGCTCACTACCCTCCCCCCCCCCCCCCGCTTAATCTCCGGCTGGCTGATTCGCCACTTACTATTTTCTCACGAATTGGGCCCATTCTTTTCCCCACCCCTTGCCGCTGGCTGGATCCGCCCCTGACTAGACGTGCAAATTGACGATGTTTCATTTAAATCTTAAATGGGAAGTATACAAATTATGAAAGAAAAAGTTTGACATGGTATATCATTGTCAGTTACAAAACCTGCATACCACAATGGCCCTGTGGGCCTAGGTTAAGTTATATAGATAATGATTTAAGATTTAATAATAGGAAGGAAAAAAAAAAGTATATATATACTTGTAGATGTAGATATCAAAAATTGATTTTAAGAAAAAAAAAATAATAAACGAATACATTAATTTACCACGCAATACAAATGAACGAATAAAATGAGATCAGTTAAAGTCGTTACTATTTTCGCATTGATCTCCCGTTGGTATCATACAAATGTATTAGTGATAATGTCCATTTGATTTGGTTCAATGAGGAAAATAGTTTGCCTATCTTGAATTTGTTAATAAACATACATTTATCCAATTGGCATTTATATAGTGCAAATTCAATAAAACATTGCTCAATGCGCTTTTCATGACAAATTAATGACAGTGACAATGAACAGAATAAGGAAAAATATAGTAGTAAACCATCAATTGTTGAAGAGGTATGTCTTTAAGTTCTTTTTAAAACAGTCAATTGAGTTGGAAGTGCGGATAGATTAAGGGAGGGGTTCCTGTCAATTGAAATGTTAGGTGCACGGACATAAGTCTCCCCACCATACCTGTACATACGGGTGGATCATCCGACCATTGACCCTTCTCACATGTAATTCTCCTAGATCCCACCAAGCGGTAGTCATCTTCGCATTCGAATGAAACCGAAGTTCCAGATGGAAAGATATCTCGAGGCTGCTGTCTGGAACCATTTAGTAACCTCCCATGCTCTGGAGCCGCAGGGACTTCGCATTCAGCAGCTTTATCACGGTGAAGAGAAGTAAAATCATTTTACTCAATATAAGTCTCTTAAGGGTTGTTTCAGCCTTTAAAGAAGCAGAGCGAAGTTTTCAAAAGGCTTTTAACCTTAAAAATGTTGGTATCATTGCAAAGTTAATGTTACAATCTTTCTAATGGTTCATATTTAGTTATCAAAAATTGTTACAGAATTGACTTATCTGCTATTAAAAGTGGTGAAATTACTACCCGATTATTCCGCCCTCGATCGGCCTGCTATTGTGACGTACGATTTGTGACGTAGGAGGTTGGGCACATGAGCGCGAGAGCGCTCCCAAGAGCTCTCACACAACTCTCGCCTGCATGCATTATACGTATACAAACGCCACTCGAACGCTAAATATCTGATCAAAATGTCCGAGCTCGAAGAAGAGGTTTTACTCGATTTAGAATTCGAAGTTGATGAGCACAGCTCCACAACTAGTGACAGTGGTACTGATAGTGACGATGATGATGATGGGGGTGTAGGAGAGATGTAAAAAAGAGAACAATTCGGAGAAGACGGCGTCGATGCTGGTGCAAGTCCAGTGTTAGTATATATGCGCGAGCTGGCTGAGCTGCCAGCTGCCGCTCAGCTCCCCAGACCCCGCTCAACTGGCGATCGATCTGTCATGCACCTTAATCGTCACTGGGGTGACTGGGCGAGACATTTTCGAATTTGTCGGGATGTGTAGGGCTCTTTAGCAAATTTCACGGATAACAAAACAAAGACGATCAGATGTGAGGTTATATTTGGCGAAAATCGATTACAAATATGCACCATTCATAAATAGAACTGCAGCTGCAGGACATAAACATGAGGGAAGCTCGCGATTCACTCATCATATGGTCTCCGTATATAATCAACAGCAATCACTATCACGCCAAGGGCAAGGCATGATGACCGAACAAATGCAAAACATCTCAGCAAATTACACAGAACGGAAGGGTATTTGGACAAATCGAATTGCACGATTCACCCCTCGTATTATATAACCTAAATTTGCTTAATATTATATGTAATTACATGATTTCTAGAGATTTTTATTCCACTTTCTTGTCAGGATATGAAGCATGCAAAGTCTGGATAATGTTTACGTATATGCATATGCAAAATACCGCACGCGAGCTGTGCGAGAGGCGAGCTTGAGGCCTATAATTGCGATCGTGCCCAACCAGTGGCGTCATAATCGGCCTACTCCGCGAACAAACTGTTCAAGCCAGGAATAGAAGTTTGAGGAGGTTCTTGGAAAAAGCTTCTTACCGCGTTTCATTTATTTTCACAAGACTTTAGACCAGAATGGGTGTGTTCAAATTGGTCTACGCTATCCGGACACGTGTAATTTGCCCATTTTGAGTGATTATGTGAAATTTCTCCGCCTAGCTTCTTTAAGCTAATTATTCCAGTGCAGTGATATAGTTGAATTTTGTTTTATTATTCATACATTTAGATATGTATGTTATTATCATTGACGCGTTCATATAAAAATTATCAATAATGCGCTCATACACTTTTAACAACAAAATTTATAAAATGGGTAGAAGAATCCCTGCAATCTGATTTGTAAGTTACCGTGTAGATTGTTTTTACCTGCTGCACGCGATATCGGGAATCGATACCACCGATATGCCTTTTTAAATTTTACTTTCATGTTCAGGTAATTAGTCATTTCATTTAATAATAATAATAATGATATTTTTGCTAATATAGTGCAGGCGCTTAGTACGTCGGGAATGTCTGTGTTTCTAAGCGCTTTACATTATTACCCCGGCCATCGGATGTTGGCTTGCCCTCACACAATTTATGCACTTTCTCCACTCCCTGTGGAGCATTCCATCAAGAGCTACTAGGCTCAAATTGCTAAGCATACCACATTGGCTTTCGCATCCTACCGGGTACCCATTTAACACCTAACCAATTACATTGGTTTTCATTCATCGCACTAACAACAGTCAATTTATGCAAATTATAAAATCATGCTTTCCGGTAATTACTGGAAGCAAGATTTTGCCGTGCAACAGGTAAATCTGTAAAAAAAAAAAAAAAAAATTGCCCCATTTCTTAAAACAGGTGATGCACAGGTTTATTGGGTCGTGGAATTGTGTGCACGGGGTACCTTTGAGTTCTGTCTTAAACCATTCAAAGGTATCTTATGCACACAATTCATACCGACCCACTCAAACCTGTGCATTATTTTGATAATATAACAATGATACCTTCATGGACACAGTCTTCATTTTATTCGAGGCTCAATTCTTCTTCGTGATTATGACAAAACGTTAGACGGAGTCTATGCAGACTAACGTGCCCCTACCTGTGTTCATACACATCTGCCCCACGTACATCTACATGTGCGTCACCAGCATTTTAGCATTTGTTTTCATTTTGTGTGGGTATGTGTGTGTGTTTGTGTGCGTGTGCGTGAGCGCGCGCATAATATATATAGATTTGATTCTGTATCTTATTTTTAAAACTCTCAGCTAAAGATAATATGTCCCTTTTGCAGCCAACATCAAATTCTGTAGAACATAGCAGGTCTCATGCATATGTCATGTATGTCCTACTTGTGAAATTCAAACGTTAGCAACGTCCTAGTATTCACATTATGCAAGGAAACCCGTTTACTTCATAGACTTCACTGTCAGACACTATTGAGTGACTGACTGATTTCTTTTTTCTTTTGGTAATAAAATACATAAAATGAGCTGTAACAGGTACACTCAGCATTAATGTCTCCATCAATAACCCACTTCTTGTAATGGCCAAAATCAAACTGATTGAATCTTTGCGCAGCACAAAACTTACGACCATTCGGTACAAGGGGTCTGAAAATCAGACTTTTTACATTAGTGATAGCAATCCCTTATGTCGATTTGACAACAAATTGTCGTTATTTTCCCGCAAAAAATATTTTCTAGCCCTTTCGTTTTGAAGGAAGTTCTAAATCAGTATTATCTTTAAAATGCCATTGGAATTTAACCTCTTCATTTTTTTAGGCATGCAAATGGGACATAGTAGCGAGGCCTACCTTTAATGTATTGAAATGTGTCTTCTATTTTTTGGTTTTATTCGCTCAAATTATTAAATGTTATTATTATCATTATAACATTTAATCATGTATTAAGTGACTAAAGCATCGGTACTTAAAACTCACTTACTTATTTCTGTTGTGGAAAATTCATTTTTTATAATTCACATATTGCAGTGAAATATAATTTATGCTAAATGGAATCGAATAAAGATCGTGGGGGGAAATAATGTTAAAAGGATAGCATACCTTTAAACAGCACATGTACGCTGTGAAATGATGACGACCCATTGCATGTATACATGCCAGAGAAATCAGTAGAGATAGGATCCAACCGTTTTCCATGATAGTTTCGCCCATGCCAATGCTGAAAGAGAATAGAGAGAGAAATGACAACTGACATTTTTCAAAAGATTCCCAGATATACTAATGTCATAAGAATTAAGGCGCTGAATCTTTAAAGAACACCCTACCATGTCAGTCACCACAATTAGGTCAAATGTATTTGGCTTTAAAAAAAAAATCCCTCTTTGTTTAAACTTTGGAACACCAAATAGACCGAAATCTCAAGAGACCGAACAGGTAGGTCTAGTACATAATTATGCTGTCGGAATAATGGTCTGTAGCCTTCGTATACTGTCCTGAAGTCACTTGTGGTGGTATTTCGCTGTCTGATCTCCATCCCTTATATTAACCATGTTGCTTACCCTGAAAGCAATATTATAGGGATTGAATTTACCTGTAAGTCTCCGTCATTCACGAGAGGAGTTGTCAGTCGAGTATATCTCAACATTCCACTGGTGTCTCTGCAGACTACATTAAGAGGCCTGGGATTTTCACGATGTACGTACACCACGACTGTCCCATTACTTGCTACCTCACGCCATCGGTTGTCTTGCCGTTCGAAGAATATGACTTGTGTTTGAACACGTTCTATGAAGAAACAACATCGAATCATTGATTATAAATTGATTAACCAATCAATTCTCATTCACGTGCAACATAAATGCGTAAAGGGTTACAGGTAAAGGAAAACAGTAATCAAAATGTTCCGTAGTTATTCAGTTAAATCCGGCCCTAGATCCAAAATCACATAAAAGGGAAACTTAGACATAAGTCTAGCTTCGATTGTTGGACCTGGGCCCCATCTTATAAAGAGTTGGCATTGGTTTGGATCAATCGCAAGTCTGCTGCCTCATATCATATCTCTATACCTGAATCTCAGAATCAGGTTTAAGGGTTAGTAGAATACGGGCCTTCGAGTTGGAACCAGTTGATCCTGGATGCCCATTTCTTCCTCTATCTCACTCCTTCCCTCCCCCTCTATCTCTCTCTTTCTCATTCTCTCTCTTTTCCCTACATACTCATTCACTCAGTCTCTTTATCTCTCTCTCCCTACCTCACTCAGCTTTGATACTCACGGCATATTGGTTCTTCCCCGGTCCACTGTCCTCCTTGACAAGTTCGTCTTTGATCACCAACCAATCTATGCTTTCCAGGGTCTCTACATCTAGCAACCAGCTGGGTGCCATGGGGTAAGGTGGGAGGGGCATAGTAGCTAGATGTTGACCTCGTCGCATCACCATTCACGAACTGTAGAACCTCTCCTCTGTTCCTTGGTACCGAACAAGTTGGTTTCCCTGGATCAAAACGCCAAAGAATAAACACGATATTAATAGTCGAAGGGCCATGAACATTTTGATTTAAATTCTTTCTCTTCCCCTCCCCTATTTGTTTTGGTTAAAGGTGCATATGGCGAACGGACATTGTCAGAGCGATGGTTTGCTTTGCTGAAATCTAGTATATAAACCAAAGAATCAAAGAGGCGATTTTTGTTCTATCCTTTTATCCTTTCCTTATTATTTTGCTCAAAACCTTCGGTTGAAATGCTTTAATACTCACGGCGGCATTGTGGTTCTTCCCCGGTCCACTGTCCTCCTTCACAAGTTCGTCTTTGATCACCAATCAATCTATAATTGTCAGGGGATCTACATGTAGCAACTAGCTGTGTGCCATCGGGTAAGGTGGAAGGGGTATAGTAGCTAGTTATCGGTCTCGTCACATCACCATTCACAAACTGTAGAACCTCTCCTCTATTGATTGGTACCGAACAAGGTTTCTCTGGAGCAAAACGCCACAGAATAGACACAATATCAATATTAGTCGAAGCGCCATGACAGTTTTGCTCTCAATTCTTTTCATTCCCCTCTTCTTCTTTTTTGTTCTTGAAATTTGAGGATTGCAACTCAATATGATTGCTTACAATATTTCACGAAAGATATACTCGCAGTACAGCTAATGGGATACTTTATCTTTGTTTTTAGTGGCAATTTTTAAAGCAATTAGATATCTATGAAAATCTTCCTATTCCATTGATTCCACTTTTTAGTATCACTTATAGTAAATTTTACAACAGACCTTTGATAATTTTCATATTGGGTTCTTGATTTTATATTCCTGTAACTAAGAAATTATGTAAGAAAGTTATCGCTCTGTCCTCCTGTGCCCCTCCCCCTTTTTTTAGGTAAAAGAAACAAATAAAGCAAGTTGTTTACCACATCGAGGCCATGGTGGAATCCATGTTCCATTAGAGCATTGTGACATCACAGATTGTTGTTCAATAGCACCCACATTGCAGCTTACTAAGACTTGTACCCTAGACCCACTAGGAACACCCGCCGACGAGGTGTTACCGCTACCGCCTATGACCGTGTAGCGCCCCAAACGATCACTTTCAGGCATGCATGGCGATGAGCCAACTAGGAAGGATATAAAATAGACACATTCATAAACAAACTTATCTCCTCCGGAGAAGATATAGGACCATGTATGTCGAGGAAGTTCCGCATACCAGTTTCGATGTCATGGCGTGTTCATACATAGATATGTGTCAATGTCTAATCAGAATCATATCTAATAGAACGGTTTGTACAGTCTTGGTGTGGTAAGAAATAACACACATATTATGTTGGATCACATACCTGAAATCACACTTGAACGGCATCATTTTTTTCTCTTCAATATTTTTCAATATTTTTTTAAAGAAATAAAATACAGTTTTTTTTCCTTGACATGAATTAAAAACATTTCCATTACATAAATTGTACAATTGATGAAAACAAAAATGAAATCAGTTGTAACATATAACCCCATCCAACCGAACACACTACTACCACCCCCCCCCCCCATCCCCACCATGCGACACACACACACTACCCGACCAAACTTCCACCACACACTGTTCCTAGCCTCCTCAGAATACCCCAAATTGGAGCGACAGACAAATAGAAACAATCTATTAAAAAAAAAAAAAAAAAAATCATTTAAACGAGGCTACAAAAGCCACGACAGTCCAGTGTTAAAAGTTCATGAAAACTTTACCTAAATTCCAACAGTTCTTTTTGAAACTCCCCCAAAGACCCGCAGACACGCGCACATACACATACCTTACACCCCCCCCCCCCCACACACACACACACTCACGCGCGCGCGCACCCGCACCTACCTTACACACCCTCACACACGCACACACACACGCGCGCGCACACACACGATCTACGTACTCAAGAATGTTAAGATCATTCATCATATGAAATGTGCGATTAATCCGCCTTTCTCTTCATGCATTTATTATACTAAAGTTGTGTTTACTCGTGGGTTAATGTTTTTCGTTTACCTTTGCGTAAACTTAAGTTATTTGTTGGTAACTAGGAATTGCGAACTATTAAACCATAAACGATTTATGCTTTTTCAGGTTACATAAATGCCGAAAAATACTACATGCATGCAAAGTGTGCAAATACGTGGCCTAAATCAGTAGGGCCAAACGAAATAGAAGAGGTTCCCAGCAGCAAAAAAAAAAAAAAAAAATTTATAATAAGGTTCAATAATCAAAACAAACATTGTAGAGAAAGCCCCATGGTATCGCAGAGGCGGATACCATCATCATCACCACCATCATCATCATCTTCTGGTGTGCTTTCTTCCCCATGAACATTTAATTTAATGAGATAATAATAATAATAATAACTAGACTTTAATTCGTCACTTTGACGATTTAGGTGATACGTATGATAATGGCTTACATAACGAATAATGTATTACACGAAATATTATTTTATAAAATGCTTCTCCCATTATGATCTATCTATATGTCAAGTTTAAATTGTGTCCCCTTGATCATCATGGATCTAGGGAAGATAGATTGAAACAATATATGACCGTTGACCCTGTACAGTAAACCAGTTACACCTTTGACTCTAATTTACATCATGAAGAACACAATTTTACGATTTTATCTTATTCAAAGAAATGAAAATGTAATTGATAAATGATTATCATCATTATGATAATGATGATCATGATGATAATGATGATGATCATGATCATGAGCGTAATCCTGACATCTTATTGAAAAAAATGTAGGTGATCAGATAGCATATAGTATCAGCTACTACATACTCAAAAATCAACAAAATCCAAGCAGGAATAACGGCGATATTGCTCGCAAAAGACAGGAATGTAGAATCCAGATTTGAGAAAAAGTCATCTCCCATATAGGGATTACACGCAAAATGTAATGGATTAGGTGAAAATAGGGTAATAATGAAGTAAATAGGGTTGTTTATTACATTATTTGCGATTCTACAAGTTTTAATAATCGAAAGAGATGGTACATTGAAAGGTCAAAAATAAAAAAAGAGTGAAGAAAAAAATTGTTGGAGACACCCGGACTCGAACCAGTGATCTCGAGGTTGGAAGTCAAATGCGTTACCGATATACCAAAACATTTCACATAGCGATTACACGTAAACGGGAAATAGAATTCTCAAATCCTACTTTGCAAGTGAAATATGAGCATGATCCCGGCATCTGATCGAAAAATAAATGCCACATTTGTGATAGCTTATTGTCTCAGCTATAACATACTTGAAGCTCAGCGAAAACAAAGTTAAAACAACGGAGATATTGCTCACGAAAGACAGGAATGTAGAATCCAGTTTTGAGAAAAAGTCATGTCCCATAGAGAATACACGCAAAATGTGAAAAATTTACATGCCTCCTTTAATCGAAAAAATACGCCACGATGCCTTTGTCTAAATGAACAATTGTGAAATTGCGTTTGTAGAAAATTGTCTTGGCTAGAACATATTAAAATGTGGAAGAAAGACGATTAATATCTACAGAGATACAATCAATTTTCCAAAAATATGCTGACGTCATAATATGCAAATTTAAATTTTGAGTTTGGAGGCCATTATGATGACGTCATGAGTTAATTAAGGGTCTAATGAGACATGAAATCATATTTCCAACTCATAATCGATTCAAATATGAAAGAATATAGGGAGTTTCTATCTATTCTGAAGAGTTACAATGAATTTTGTCTAGGCATGTTTTTGCCCATGTATTGTGGGTAAAGATAACGCAGGCCCGCGCGCGCTGTCAACTTTGACGGACGCCCATTGCGTTATGAAAAGGTGAACAAGTTATCAAAATGCTTTGAAAAATGTGCCAAATATGAAAACAGAGACAATTCCGCGATTCTACGTTGCAAAATGCTAGTACGCGCAAAAAACGCGCGCGCATGCGCGTATGCATGATTTTTTTCGTCAAATGCTCCAAATGGCCTGAAAAGTATGCAAAAAAATATTTGGGATGATTTGGAGCATTTTAAATTTTTGCGCGCACGTAAACGCGCGGACAAACGCGTACGCGCGCATTTGCGCACGTTTATTGACCCAAAATTGACCGGACGTATATTGATCTTAATCATGATAATTATGAATGAGAAAGAACTTTCCGTTATGAAGATATGATCATAAGTTGATTTTCACAAAATGGCGCCTGGATGACGTCACGATGACGTTGAGTCTATGACAAGTCACGCAGTTCTAAGTTAGACTAAGATATATCATCATGGCAAGTTTCATGATAATGGCTTTGTTCAGTCTTGAAATATCCTGCGAACAAATTCGAGGAAGAATAAATAATAAATAATAAATAAAAATCTTGACGAAATCAATAGGTGATACGTAGACTTCGTTACGTATCACCTAATAATGATAACACTATTTATAAAGCGCAACATATCCATCTCAAGGCGCAAACAAATAATTAGGTGATACGTACGTAGACGTATCACCTTTTGATTTCGTCAAGATTTTTCTTTATTATTATTATTATTATTATTTTTTTTTTATTATTATTCTTCCTCGAATTTGTTCGCAAGATATCTCAAGAATGAATAAAGCTATTATCATGAAACTTTCCATGATGATAGATATTAGTCTAACTTAGAACTGCGTGACTTTTCAGAGACTCGAGATTATCGTGACGTCATCTAGGCGCCATTTTGTGAAAATCAACTCATGATCATATCTTCATAACAGAAAGTCTTTCCTCATTCATATTTATTATGCTCAAGGTCAATATCCGTCCAATCAATATCAGTTTTAAAAAAACGCGCATGCGCGTACATCCACGCGTCAATGCGCGCGCAAATATTTTAATTGCTCCGAATTATCTCAAATTAATTTTGCATACGTTTCATGCCATTATAAGCATTTTTTTAAAAATCGCGCAAACGCGCATTTTCGCGCGTTTTCGTCCGTCACAGCCAAACGCAAAATAATTACCAGTCATTCTTTTTGGACAAGATATTCCTCATATTTGTCCGAACGATTTGATACAATGTTTACCTCTTTATCACTATTAATAACGGAATGAGCGTCTGTTCAAGGCGTATGCGCGAGTTTTGTAATACATAGCACATATTGGCAAAAACATGCCTATACAAAATCCATTATAGCTCTTTTGTTGGAAAGGAACCCTCATTTTGTTTTTATATTTAGATAGAGTATAATTCGGAGATATGATTTCATGTCTCATTTGGCCATTAAGTATATTTTGACATAATCATATTGACCTTGGAACTCAAAATACGAATTAGCATATTATGACGTCAGCATATTTACGGAAAATTAATGTATCTCTGCAAATATTGATCCATTTTCTTCTAAATTTTGATATGTTGTAGCTGAGACAATTTTTCACAAGATTATTGTCAATATTTGTTCATTTTGATGACGTCATTATGGTGAAAATTGCGATTAAAGGCGACATATGTCAGATTTTCGCTTAATATGCGTGTTATGCCTATGGGAGGTGATTGATACTACATTCCGGTCTAGACTTGTTCATTATGTTGCGTATGTAGTGCGTCGAAATATCAGTTCAATGATTGGTAGGCTCTGCAATCAGGCGAAATTTTGAGCTTGTTTAGTAAATTAATAGTTTAATCATATAACAATTCTCTATCGAATATCTGAAGGGGGCGCTATACCACTTTTAATCATGGTCATCGTCATTAAAAACCAAAAAAGTATGCATTCAATATATCTGCTTAAATTCGTTTATTATCTGTTAAAAATTATATACACTTAAAATATTGTATCAAACCATATTATGTTAATGAAAATGTATGATTTAAAAAAAAAAAGATGCAGAAACCAATAAATCAAATCAAATCAAATCAAATCAAATATCGTCATTATCGTATTAATGAATATTATCATTAGATCATCATCAGCACACTTTCATGATACAAAAATAGCTACGTATCACCTAATTCGTCAAAGTGACGAATTAAAGTCTAGTTTAAATTGATGTTCAACATATTAAAGATTAAAGAAATATTAAATGTAAACTCACATAAGATCACACAACTTCATGGTGCCATGGTACATACAATGTGGCACAGTGTGATTATTTGCTTTGCATGTATTGTATAAAAAGAATATTACAATTTAATAATATGCATAGAGCATCAGGTGAGTTTTAAGCCCAGTTTTGAAAGTAGAAAGACTGTTGCCGTCTGAATAGAGAAAGGTAACTTATTCTACAAAGAAGGAGCTGATGACGTAAATGCTCTATCCGCCCAATTTCTTTTGGTACGTATTTCTTTAAGCTTAATATTGTGATGTGATACCTTGGATTGTGTTTTTTCTAATAGCTTGTTCAGCCAATATTTTATTAAAATGTCGGATGATCTCATGTACCCACAGTAAAAGCTTGTATGATAATTTACCCTTTAAACAAAGAAAAAAGCATAGAAAATAACTTCTTACCGCAAACTGAAGCTAGGAATAGTTGAACATAGATCAATATTCGGACAATGTCTTCAAATCGCTTTCCTCCCATCGTGGCCAACTGGGTTGACTGCCTCAAGGTAAAATGTGAGATTATATCTTTTGTTAGTGAGACCTAGCATGATGGCATCGTGCTTATCAACGTATTGTGTTTATTTATGTTGTGTTTCATTACAGGATGCCATTGGCATGGATCTTTTTTGAAGTTCCGGTTCACTTTCCGATTCTTTCAGGAAGCGAAATGAAAAGGTCATGACCTGAAACCTAATTCGGTGCCTATGCACTAAATAGTCATATCTGATTGATACACGTCTGTAAAAAAACCAATACACACATACACACAGACACAGACACACACACACACTATAGGTTGCCTGGGAGCGCTCTGGGGACTGAAATTCCCCTCACGCGGGGACCCCAACACGGACAGAAGAAAAAGAAAAGAAAAAGATGAAAGCTCCTTATGGCCCGGTCCCACTGCATTTACGAATGCAAAGAGGATGTAATGGGTAAACAAATCTTGCCATCCGTTGGAAAAACGCTATGCATCCGTTGTGTACTCATTGCATACGTGTTTCATACGCTTTATCCATCGAGCATCCGTCCACTGTGATTTCATCCGCGCAAAAAGTTTTGAGCTGCACAAAACTTTTAGAACGGATGAACTTCCGCCGTGTACGATGTAAATCCGCGACAAATACGAGCAACAAACGTTCTGGCCCGAATTCACAAAGCAAGGTTTGAGCTCAAACCTCCTTTTGTTTCGCCAAACCTTCTTTTGTTATTTACAGGTTTGTAAATAACAAAAGGAGGTTTGGCGAAACAAAAGGAGGTTTGAGCTCAAAACTTGGTCTGAGCTCAAACCTTGCTTTGTGAATTCGGGCCTCTTTGTCCGTTATCATCCGTTAAACGTCCGCTGTATCCTCTCTGCATCCTCTGGGCATCCTCGCAACTCGCATCCGCTGCAGCTGAAAACGGACAGAGGGAGGAAAGATAAAATACATGGAACGTCTATACATCGTTAGTAGCACGGAAATAGAAAGGATACAAGCGTATGCATCTCGTATATAAAGTATTCAAAGCTGTCATCCACTTCCATCCGCTTTCATCCGCTAGGCTTCCGATGAACATCCGTTTAACATCCCCGCTACATACTACCCACGTCCGTTATTTTCCGTTCTGTTTTCGCAAATTTTCGCAAAATTTGTCCATTTCTGGAGCGGATGAAAACGGATGGAGCCACACCCGAAATTTTGCTCGTCCGCTGTGTCCGTTATGCATACGTTTTGTGTCCATCGGTCAGTGGGACTGGGCCATTAGAGACCAACGATTTTAGAACAAGAAGCTGTAGATAATTCGTATCTCGGCAATCTTGCTTTTACTTGATACAGAGCATCTAATTTATACATGCGATCAATAGCTACCCTGTCATAATTAATATGTAAATAAAGAAAAATTAATAACTGAATGGGGATCTATTCCCAAACTAGCGTGTCTTAGTCGACCACAAGGTGATTCTTCTAGGGAACGCAGACCTAATTTAACCCCAAGTAGCATGATTAGAAATTCTCATATTTTCTTTAAATACGAACGGTGGGATGTTTTCAATAGACTTTAAAGGGAAAGACCTTTTGTATTCTCTCATGCGAAGTGTAAGGGGAATTTGTTTGTGATTTAATTTGATTCGTTTTGAACTAGTCTATTGAATTAAAAAAAAAGAAGCATACACTCAAAATAGCAGCCGAAGGCTGAAACAAATTGAATTTACAAAAGGTTGAACATTGCATTAAAGTACAGTAACCTGTAAGTTGGTTGGACAAATATGTAAAGTAAAAATAACATTGCCAAAAACATAAGTTAACAAGGAAATGAAAAGGCAGGGAAATGATAAAGACAGACGAGATTTAAAACAAAACGAGACAAAGTAGGAATGACATTGCCAAAAAAGAATAAACGAGGAAATGAAAAAAGACAGGGAAATTGAAAAGACAGACGAGATCAACCTTGGAATAAGAGAAGAGGGAGAAATTTAGGTGAAGTAATCTAAATAGTTTAACATATGACAAGGTAATCTGTCGTTGACAGACCACCTAATAAATAAATAAGATAATAAATATAGGAAGAAAATTCTGACGATAACAATAGGTGGTCTGTCGTTGACAGACCACCTTATTAAGAATAAACTAGAAACTTAATTCGTCATGATGACGAATTCGGTGGTCTGTCTTTAATTCTCATGATCATGCACATCTTCAAATCAATGATCCAAAATAATGATGTTAATGTAAAATGATGTATTAAGATATGAATTAATGAATGAAGTACTGATGAACTGGTAGATTGAACTAATGTGAAATAACTGAATTGATGAGCTAAACTGATGAACTGATAGATGAACTGACAGATTGAACTGTGACCTGAACTGAAGTGATAACTTAACTGATGATCAAAATCATGATCATAATGAAATTTAATGAAAAAAGACTGGAATGTAGAATGCAGATTTCAGAAAAAGTCACCTCCAGTAGGCATGACACGCAAATTAAGAAAATTCTGAAATGTCGCATTTAATCGAAATTTTCACTGTGATGACGGCATCAAAATGAAAAATGGTGAGATATAGATATAGAGAAGAAGAGAGGGAGACGGGTTATAGTCATGTAAAAATAAATGAGCTGGACTGAGGGATGAAAGAGGAATCAGAATGCATACACTTGGAAGAAGAGAGGATAGTATAAGGAAACATGGTAGGGGTGAAATAAGAATACAAAGGGCAAAGGAAAGAGCTAGAGGAAATAAAGGAACATCCTAAGACATAAAAGAGAGAGAACGGGAGCCAAAGGCGGGAAACGGAGAGGGTGAGAGAGCAGAGAAAGAGAGATACAGAGACAGATCGAGGGAGACTAGTGATTAAAGACCCTTTCCAATCAAGAAAAAGTACTGTTTAGATGGGAAAATAGTTGGTGGGTTTGGTGTTCGGACACTTCAAAAACATAAACATTGACTATATTACCCATTAAATAATTTCGGAATGGACCATGCATCGATCTAGTTCCAGTCAGCTAGTGTCCAAATTTTATTTCTGTGCCCGAGCTCTAGCACCTTGCTATTAGTTTCATTTTGATCGACTTACTCTTTTCTCATTGATGTATATTTAATATGTATTGTAATTTGTACGTTGATTCGATTTTTTTTGTTGATATGTAATTGTTTATAATTGTATTTTGTTTGTCTAGCGCTTAGAGATTTCGGTGGTAAGCGCTTTATAAGAACCGTATTTATTATTATTATTATTACCTTTGAAGCACCATTCATCATACAAACTGTACACTAAAACGCCCTTTACCAGTCACAACCATTTACCATTAAGTAATTACCATTGAAATACCATTTAAAATTTAGTCACTACCATCGAAGTACATGTACCAATTATCATTTCATCACTATACCATTGAAACACCCTTTACCAAAGACATATGTACTACTGTAACACTATTCACGATTTAGTCAGTATACCATACCATAAATTCAAATTCAATTGATTTCCACTTTAAAAAACATTTACAAATCAATAATGTATACATATAAACAATAGTGGCGGGGTCATAAAAAGCACTAAATTCGCTCGTTGAAAGTGACCTCTTAACAAATAACAATAATATACATTACATATTATACATTGGAAGAAAAACATCGAAAAACTATTACAGAATAAACTTAACACAAACATAACAAAAACATCAAAATTTTAATTTTTAAAAAAGATAAGAAAGAAAAGATAGGAAACATCAACAAAATATTATCATTTATGAGTTCTGTAGGTGTTTTTTAACTAATCGTTTGAACTGTTTTACGGTCTTTTTATTTTGTAGATGAGTTGGGAGGTTATTCAAAATAATTGGACCATTGTTAAAAATCGAATTCTGAGTAGTTGATATGCGGTTTAAAGGGAGGTGGATATTTTTAGCATCTCTAGTATTGTAATTATAAATGGAACAATTCAAAGTTAAATAATCACCATACATCTTAGGAAAAAGTTTATTAGACAGATGAAACATGAAAATGTTAGTACTTAAGGTTAATAAATCATGGATAGGTAGTTTTTGCATTTTTAAAAATACTGGTAGAGTGTGAGAGAGATGAAAAGAGTGTATAATAAGACAAATCCCACGTTTCTGTAATTTATAAATTCGTTCAATATTTCTTTCAGAAGTCAAACCCCAAACAATTTTACAATAATTAAAATGGGAAGAAATGAGGGCATGAAATTCAATCTGAATAAACACCAATATTTGTAGATAAAGTGTTACAAAGATGATTTATATGGTGGGTCTAAGATAGTTTTTCATCTACAATTACTCCTAAACATGTTGTACTTGACACCCGAGTAATTTTTATTTGAATAGAACAAATTTAACTCCATTGTAATTTTGGTTTAAGTTCCAAACATAATTAGTATTATTGTTATTTAATATTAACTCATTGGATTTCATCCACATATTTCAATTTATTAATTGATTATTTACGAAATGAAATAAAGTTGTACGATCACGACCTTTACAAAATACACTGGTATCGTATGCAAATAAAATATAATGATAGAGCATTGTTCTTGAGGACTAGGGTATTATTCCTTTAAGTTTGTCAGATTTGAAACGTTTTTTTTTTTCTCTTTGCCTCTTAGAGGTGTTTATTTAATATTCAAACAATAACATAATTTTGCTTACAATTCAGCAAATCAATGGAACATCAGTAATACACAAGTTATTTATTCAAATATACCTAAGCAAATTCGCAGGAAATTTCATATTTTGTACTTTCAAATGTTCGTTTATTTCTATTCTGTTAGTAATTTCTCTCTTAAATAAGTAAATTAAACTCAAATCTCTATTATCATACCCATACTTATTACGAAAAATAATCATTTTATAAATCGACCAAAAAGCAATAGTCATTATCAAATCGATTTCGGTTTGCGAATTCATTTTGAGTAATAAAACAATATCTATCTCTATTCTAAGATTGAAAGCACGTGAAAATAAGTCCTTTAAATATGCAAAGAAGGTTTCATTTGTCTTACATGAAATGAAA